CCGAAGCTATCTGTTTCTACCTGCGACCGCGTAGAGGTATGCAATGGGACTTCGCAGGCACTGATTAATTATATGTACATCCTATAACTACTGTCAGCTATTGTTCAAACGCTTTGCGTGGATGAGATCCCATAGTAAATGCCCACAGTATGTCCTATCCATCAGTTCTAACAGTCCATAGGATGTCAGTAACATGCTGCCTGCGTCGTGACATTGTTACCGAGGGGCGTAGTACACTGGACGTCAAAGCCACAGTCCTCTCCACACACGCAATAGCCTTCGACGTCACTCGCGTAAGCGCATTTACTGTCCGAGCAAGTGAGGAGCTTGCAGTAATCGTTAAGGTCAGCGTCAGCGCAGTAGTACTGTGATCGTGGTAAGTTCCATGTCTGACGACGTACTGTCGTAGTATGGACATTGCGGCTTACAATCTCTTTGTAAGACTCGTCGCAAAAGAAGCTACGATTACGTCAGCGTGTGATCTTTCCTCCAAGAACTCCGCGAACACATACATACCCAGACGAAGATTGATAATTTTGCTTGAGTTCCTGGCAGCTGGTCGGACCTCCGGACTCCTGGCTCCTGCTCCATCCAATGTTGATAAGGACAAAGAACGATGTTGGCGACGATAGCCTCATGTTGACTTGCGTTGATTAGGACCTTATCGAGTGTGTTCTGAAGCCTCCGGTGGCCTGATGGTAGAAATCAAGTGAGCAGTCGGATGGAGTAGAAGGATTCCGGACAACTTTGTACCCATTGCTATGCGCTGCGCCGAAGGTCAGCCCGATTCATCCGTAGATGCCCTTGCCCTGTTTGCGTCGGTGTTGCAACTGTGGAAGGTGACCTATTGGACGGGACCATTGCATGTTATATCGAAATCATTGCAGCAAGCCATGGAGCGCTTCTAGCACCTACCATGTTCATAGCCGAGATACCACGGTGGCCCAGGTCGTTGAGACAAATTCTGCATCCTCAGGGGCATATCTGCCTGCCGACGAAAGAAGAGGAAGGGTACCGAAGATGCACTTCGACTTGCGATCTGCTGCCCATTGCCTCGATTCCAGCTTCATCGCCGGTGCTGACCCTCATTTGAGCAGTGGAGTAGTTCATAGGGCATACTTCCGGCTCCAAAAGTGCTTTCGAGGTGTGCCAGAGTGCAGTGCCTTGTTTCGCCCTCGTCAATTGCAAATACAGTTCTAATCTTGCATCCGCGGAACACAAGTTATAAGCTCAAGACTGACTAAACGATTTGTTAGTAGCTTAAGACGGACTAAAGAAGTTGTTAGTCACTTTAATTTCAGATTGACCTAAAACAGACGACCTCTCTGGGGCTGTTCAGATCACTCCCTTCCAATCGAAGTCGGACGAGCAGGGCAAAAGTGCTCTAGACTGGCTGCCTGAAAGGAAGCAAATGCCCAAGATTTGATGTCCCACGCTATCCGTTCCCCGTAAGCATAGGATAATTTGTAACGACAGTTGTCCACGTGCCCCAACACACTCAATCCTAGTGCATGCGTCGGAGTTAGTTGATTCGTAAGCACTTTCAGCGCCGAACTCTCTCCAGCAGTGAACCATCTCATCTGCCACCCGGTCCCGCTCGTGCCCGAAGAGGCATTTGTATCGCCGAGAAAAATTGGAGTTAGGGCACGAAAAGGCTGGCTCCATCCACTTTCCGTTTCAGTCGAGTTCGGTTGAATGTGCATCGAAGCAGCGATCTTCGCGAGTGCATTTGCCTGAGAAGGACATGTTACTGCCTAGAATAGCGAGACAGGGCACGCAGGACGCGCACGAGACCTGCAGGACAGTGCACACGTCAATGCACGGTGTGCCTTGGTTACTTCAATGCTCGTGGGTGTGTGCGGGCGCTGTTGGAGCCAAATCGGTTGTAAATTTCAGTAGTACTGCTGTAGAGCAAAGTGAGTGCCAATTTGCCTGTGATCAAAAGCCCGAAAGGCATTGATATGGAGTGATCTATGCTTGAGTCGTCCAGTCATGGAGCTTTTCCTATTGACCACAGACCGAACTGCCCAGGCCACTATACTGTGTCTGCATGAGGGAAGAGAGCAAATGCTGAGAGCCAGCCAGCTGTGCCCCTTGATACCGGAGCCTTGGCTTCGACCGACGACTTCTTATGTCGTTTGCTTTCAGCAATGAGCATGTAAGCTGTGTCGAGAGAGCTGCATGGTATGTTGTTACTACCCTCATTGATGAACTTGTACCGACTCGAGGCCAGTTTGGCCCCGTTTCCAGTGGTCGCACTGATGGCAGATTGTAAGCTTAGCGGACTAGAACAGGCTGTGCGAAAGCTCGAGGGAAGTCTCCGGTAACGCACCTCATGTCCAAAGCTCTGCCATTGTTGAAGTTGTGTTCGTTCTTCCGCAGAAGAGAGCCGTCACTGTCAGCTTGCAGAAAATGTGCGGTGTCTATCGGAACGAGATCAGGCGATGCCCAGCCTCCGGGGCCTCTTATCCCCACGTAACCGTAGCATTTCCACCCGCCGTCGCGCTGGAGCCATTTGTACTTGATCAAAGACTCCTGCCCTATGGATGATGTTGTTGTAAACATTCCCCATTGTCTGGTCAATACCCATGCCACCGCTTCACCTTTCTGCCGATCTACCGTGACCTGGCAATCCAGTATCTTGGTCACGTAGTTGGGTTTCCTTGCTTCCACACAACGCAGATGCTGACAAAGCTTCGCTAGAAGATTGGGGCTATCATCGGCGACTTGCGGTATGACGTCCACATCGAAGCCAAGGTGGGTGTAGTTTCGGGAAAGGTATTTCCCAAGGAAGGGAGAGTCCCATCGCCTGGCGTCGCAGATCGTGAGGAAAGCCATCGTAAGCCACTTCACCCACTCTGCAGCCCTGGCGTCTGTCGAGCGCACGATCCATAGTCAGCGCCAACCGGAATTGAGCCCGACGAGGATATTGTGCGCTCACCATCATTCACGTGCCGCAGACTTGGTCCTTGATATATGCGAAACTTCAATTCCTGCTGCGCGCATGCGCATTTCGACGCAGCTTTGGTGCACTGCGCACATCTGCGCTCTCTCGGCTCACTGCCGACACTCTGGGGCCCGTCATTCATCCTGGCTATTTCGTCCATCGTGTGCCGTTGTAGACCTGCCTCCGAACACTTCTGAAATAGGTGGCAGCCTCAACACGGACTTGGGAAAGACATATATCGTTCTTGCAGTTCATCACGGTTACTGTACGCCGAGGTCCAAGTCATTGGTGAAAGGGTGCCATTATCAAGCTGTTGAAAGTCTCTCTCATATGAGCCAGGGTTGTTAGAGATCTTGTACGATAGATTCCGGTACTGCCGACCGAACTATATCCGCGGCAGACAACCGCAGCTTGAGCCTCACCCACGGTTTGAGACGTCAAATGGCGCATTGGATATGACTCTCTCGAATATGGACTTCACAATGGCCTTTGCCTTGTCGGAACAGCAGTTAGTATGTCCGTCTGGGGCGACTGTGTCGCACTTGCGTAGTATACTCGCCAGCCAGATGTCGTTACTTATGACTCGTTAGGCTTAGGAGAGGCTCCTAAGGAATTCAGGGCAAGCGCGCGAGAGCGGACCAAAGCAGAGCAGCACCTACGCCAAGGAATGGCTCATCCAGATATGCTTGCGTGTCAGCCCAGATGGGACTTCTCCTCTTCCAGAGCAGGCTTTGACCTTGCTCAAGTGGACTGTCAAGGCAAGATTCAACCGGAATTCCAGGTTGAAGCTGAAGAAACCAACAGCTGACTAAGCTGATAAGCTAAGCTCGATCGGGGCTTCAGCATAACCTCAGCTCAAGCTTGGCATGTGCCCCTCAGGCAGCTGAAACGCAGACACCGACACCGACAACATCCATCTCGTATTTGCATCCCATATCCTGGCCACATTGCCAAGCCCCCACAAGCCGAGTACACACATCACATCTCACCAGTACCCATACCATGGACAAGCTCAGCGAAGAAGAGAAGCAGCACTATCGCGAAGCCTTCTCAGTCTTCGTAAGTACATCGCCCCACCTACGCCATTCGCAAGTTTGAAATATAAGGATTCAAAGCTAACAATCCAATGCTTGGCCATATAGGACAAGAACGGTGATGGTGAGAAATCCTGTCAACACACTCATGCTTCCAAAGCAAAGAACTAAACATATCCTTCTTTCCTCCCAGGCGAAATCTCCGCCGCCGAACTCGGCGACGTGATGCGCTCCCTAGGCCTCAAACCCACCGACGGCGAACTCCAAGACATGCTCCACGAAGTCGACTCCGATAACAGCGGTTCAATTGATATCAATGGTACGAAGTCGCATCAAATCTATTCAAACCACTTCTCCTCACGCGATCCTCTCCCAATTGGCCATCCGCCTCTACCTTGCACAACTAACTCCCCAAACTCCGAACAGAATTCCTCGTCCTCATGTCCCACGTCGGCAGTGCCCAAGACACCGAAGACGAACTCCTCAACGCCTTCCGCGTCTTCGACAAAGACAATTCCGGCACAATTTCCGCCTCGGAAATGCGCGAAGTGCTGAAAGCTCTGGGCGAAGATTTGACCGATAAGGAAATTAATGAGATTATGAGTGCCGCAGACACAGATGGAGACAAGACGATTGATTGTGAGTGTGCATCCTAGTTCTCCTTGGCCTTTGATGCGATTCAGTTGATTCGGGGTTGGGGTTTGGAGTTGGGCGTTGGATGTTCTGCTGACGTTGTGGAAAATGTAGTCGAGGAGTTCAAGAAGATTATGCAGGATCCGAAGTTGTCTTAGTTGCCACTTTGGGAAGAGTGAGGCCGGGAGAAGCATTCGAGGAAGAAAGGCGGAGATCACATCCAGGCGCGGTTCTCTCAAATGCACCGTGAACGAATCAAAAAAGGGTGGATGGGTCTGAAATGGAGTTCACGCATTCGGTAATGATACCAAAGGAAGAAAAGAAAAAGAGACAATGTAAGCTTGCTCCTTCACAGCTTCTCAATGCAAGGACTTGTCAATACAAGCCTAGTCGCGATTTTATCCCAGAACCTGTGACCGGAAGACCACGGGCACCGAATTTGACACTTCCTGTTGTCCCGTGTTCTAAACATGTGCAGACAATAAGCAGAGACCGAAAACTCGAAATTCAAGGAAGTGAGAGCAAAGGCGATTGAGTGGAAGACTTCATAATCATGCTCTTGAAAGTGTCGACGGCAGGAATGTTCAAATCGCTGTACATCCTCATCCTGAAAAGTACAGGACTCGTGGAAAAACAGAACAACCTTTCATATCCTCTTGATTTCAATTCTCGCTCGTTCATGTAGCTGATGTCCAACATAATCTCCCGCTTCCCTCTCTTCACCTGACAATTTCCTCGGCGAGATGTCCAATGAAGCAAAAGTACCCGCGCCTCGCTTCTTGCTGAGAGTGCCTGGATTGATGCAGAGGACGCCTTGTACGAACTAGAGAAACGTTAGCCGAAGACCGACAAGAAGAATTCGCATCAGAGCGAAAGTGAAAAACACCGAAGCGATACTTACCCTTGCAAAAGGCATCAGCGTGCTGGGCAGAATCAAAACATCCGGTCTCGCCTGCCAAAACTCTCCCAGCTTGTAAAACGACAGATCCAGATTCGCCCCCAAAGCAAGTCGTTCTTCGCCTCCAGGCTCGGGAATCTCGCCCTCAATCGCCGTAGGTTTTGGCAGCTCTTCCCTCGATTGTGGCGGAAAGATAGGGAAATAATGACTCTGTTCAATGACATGTTCGCTCAGCCGCGCCAGAAGATCATTGTTCAGAGGCTTGTCTCCTGTCGCAGATTGTGCTGCGCCACTGCGGTGCAGTTCGGACAAGACATCTTGCGAAGACATTCCGACGATGAGTTCGTTGAGGAAGAGGGCCATCGGGTTTGCGACGAACTGGACTTGTCTGGGGAGGCCCAATTGGGGTTTCGGGACACGATCTTGTGGCCAAGAGACGTGTTTGCTGATGGCGTCGCGCGTAGAAGGCACCATGATTATCGTGATTGTCGATACGGTCTGGATTAGGCGTTGGATGGGACCGCTGATAAGGGTGCGAAAGACATCAGTGATAGTTGCTTGGTCCGGCTCGATCTTCGCGTCAGCGGGTAGGTGTGGTTCAAAGTCTCCAGACGCTACGACTGGATGTTCCAAGTCAAGAAAAGGCCCAGTGAGGATCAGAGCATCTGCGCGCTCAATAGCTGCTCTTTCGAGGAGGGCATATAAAGGTGCAAAGGAGAGATCGGTATCTGCTGTGTACGGTCCGCTTGCAACAAGCATATGAAGAGGCCTTGTTTCACCATCGGCTGATGTGAGTCGGTCATTGTGCACGTCGATGTCTTCGGGTCGAGACGCTGCCACTGGCAGAAGAGGCATTGGAAGCACTTCTCGCACCAGGAAATGCTGACCGCTAACGTTCGTGCCTCGAAGTGCCACAATCTTGCCTGGGAAGAAGTCGAATGTCACGCCGTCCATCTTGAGGGGTACCCTCATACCAGCTCCCATTCTTCGACTGGTCTCAAGCACTATGCTGGAGGCGTTTAGCTTGCCTATTGGCTGATCACATGCGATTCTCCCGACTGCTACCACCTCTGAAGTCGACTGCGCTGCAGGGTTTCCAAAGTCGCTGTCTTCCAATTTATGCTCTTTCTGTACTTGCTCCACAAACATGTCGATACGATCGTCGAGAATTTCGGAGACTTCGGACAATTTCATAGCCATGGGCTTGTAGGAGTACTTGGGTAAGTCCACCGCCGCCTTCAGCTTGAGCCGCGACTCTGCGGGAGGGACTTCTGAGAGCGCAGCAGCAGGTAGATGTGTATTGATTGCCTCCACTACTTCGCCCGAATTCTTCCTGTCCTCGAATGCGACTGTAGGCAAGCTCTTCATGACAGGCGTCTTGTTGTCTGCGGGAGAACTGTTGAGATTGTTCTTTACAGCCTTCGAAGTGGGTGTATCAAAATTGCTCTTTCGCTTCGCTGCAGATATTCGAGATGCAGGTGTGTTTGAGACCATGCCATCCAGCATACCGAATACATCTTGTCCTCCTGTTGTTCGTGGTGTGGCTCCCATTCGCTTCGGTGCGTTGTGAGCCTCGGGTCGCTTTCGTGTCTCTCGTTCCAGCGCTTCTTGTAGCGTCTTCTTAAAGTCCTGCACCGTTTTGTAGTCCAATTTGGTGGATTCGACACCCATGGTGAGGACGTAGCTGTCCCATTTGTAGAACAAGTCCTCTGGCGACAGCGACATCAGCTGCACGATGTGCAGCAGCTCAGACAGCACATCTTGAGGCAGAGCCTGATCGGGAGCAGCGAAGAACTGGTTGATCTGCGCCTCGAGGTCCGCCATTGCGTGCTGATATCGTGTTGTGTTGTGTGTTCGGATGCTGTGTTTGACGACAGTCCCTCAGCACCATTTGGGGAGACGCGAAGTGGGCGCGTCGAGGCGCGTCAAATCGGATCAACAGTCGGGCCGAATGCGTAGGCATCGCTCTCTATGAGGTACCCATCTGTTCCATCGGCATGCATCCTCAAACAACGACATATCTCAGTATTGACATGAGCCGCGCTGGAGATGACTGCTCGCCGAGTACAGAACCTCAAATTCTCGCTCATGTGTTGCGCCTCGAATTGTACAAGCTGATCGACGACACGACGTAGTACAACGAACCCATTCTGCCGACCTGCCTTTGCCGCAAGCTATGGACTCTACGGCACGCAAACACGCCTACTCTTCCTGGCATTGACGAATTACCGTATCCTGGTTACTTCTTCACGCCCACGCCCTCGTCAACACCTCTCCCGACTCATCCCTCGGGAACATACTCCGCTGCGACAAAGGGACGAATTGGTGTCAAACGAAAGAGGACGCGAGTCGTAGTACTGGGTGTGCTGCTGATTCGTAGATGCAATTCCACTGAGCAAACCACTGCAGTCGGACCTCGTCAAGCCAAGCAGGGACCAACTGCGCCCAGGTTGTGGTGGCTGTGGTATCATCAAGCCATAAGCCTCATGAGTCACCGCTTTGTCGGGTGGTTGCCTTGCTACTAGAAGGAATGTCCCACGTCTGTAAATCATGCCGTGACCGCTGAGCTCAAAGCTATATGTTGCGGTGTCCCGATGCGTCAGTGGCATACAAGTATCAGGCGCTACCTCCACTTTGTTCTCACGCCGACAATGACAAGGCAGAAACCGACACAACTTTCTAGCGATCGACTGCAGACACGAAAACAATTAGCGGGCATCAGTAAAAATAACAGAACTCTCCGTACGCCATCCAAGATGAATAGTACACGAAACAAGAACCTCCAAAAAGGAGTTTTCCATACGACGGGGTACAACCAGACAGCCGACTCCAAAGTGGCGACGGAATCCGAAGATACGACCTCCAGCCCATCTCCTGTACTCTTCTGGAAACCAACACAGACTTATGGATACCTTGGCCAATGGCATATGTCTTCGTTCACCGACCCCAGTAACAACCAGACATTCAATTGCGCAGAACAGTACATGATGTACCACAAAGCCATTCTCTTCAACGACCTTGACGTCGCTTCGCAAATCATGCAGACTGATAATCCCCGTCAGCACAAAAGTCTCGGAGCAAGAGTGAAGAACTTCAGCGACAAGGCATGGAACAAGGAGAAAACGAACATCGTAGAAAATGGGAATTGGTTGAAATTCACGCAGAGCGAGGAGTTGAAGACGTGGTTGCTATCAACAGGCGAGAGCGAATTAGTGGAAGCGAGTCCATACGATCGGATTTGGGGCATTGGTTTCATGGCTGGAGATGCCTTGAAGGTGGAAAGGAGTTCGTGGGGAGAGAATTTACTGGGAAAGGTCTTGATGAGAGTAAGAGATAGATTGAGGGCAAAGGAACTTGAATCGGTCGCAGAGAAGAATGATTTGCAGGAGAAAGTGGCAGAGTAAAATGTGCGGTCTTCTGGTGGAGGCATTCTTGACGAGAATAACCGGCATCCGCTCTATCCAAGTCATCTTTGACGAAGGCTCGTTAACATATCGTAGCCTGCATTCGAAGGCGAAAGAGTTCTACAGCCTAGCCTTCTGCGCTTGCAACTCCCTCTTCGCACGTTCCCGCAAGTCTTTACGTAAGAACTTGCCTATCGCATTTCTGAAACGAAAGTCAGTGGCAGTGAAAAATCGCAGGCATTTAGCACTTACTTCGGGATCTCATCAATGAACACAACGCCACCTCGCAATTGCTTGTACGGCGCAACCCTGTACTTGACAAAGTCTTTCACCTCCTCTTCTGTGACTTTATTTCTGTCGGTCGCAACAATGTAAGCCCGAGGTAAATCGGTCGTTGGATCGTCAGGTGCTGGTACGCCGACTACCGCCGCCTCTCGAATATGCGGATGCGTGAACAGCAGATTCTCCAGTTCCGCTGGTGCGACTTGCAAGCCTTTGTACTTCAGAAGTTCCTGCATTCAAAAGTCAGCCAAATTTCTGGTAGTCCCCTCAGCCAAGCATCCTTCTCGGCCACCCTCCAGACCAGGCAGAATCAAAAGCAATGCCCAACTGACCTTCTTCCGATCAACCACATAAAACTTCCCCTCTCTGAAGACTCCAATATCCCCACTACAAAACCACCCCCCACGAAAAGCCCCCCTCGTCGCCTCTTCATTATCATAATACCCATTCGTAACCAGCGGACTCCTAATCAACAACTCCCCCTCCTGCCCAGGTTCCACATCCCTAAACTCCTCATCCACAATCCTCAACTCCACCGCAGGTAAAATATACCCAATACAACCCGTCAAATCAACTTCTCCTTTCGGAATCGCCGTAACCGCACCTGTTGTCTCCGATAATCCCCACGTCTGTCCGATGAAAGTTTTCGTTCCGTCGCCGATACGTTTATTGGAAGCTTGCTGGAGGATAGAGTCCATGGGTGCGGCGCCTGTGTTTGCTGCTTCGAGGGAGGATAAATGGTCTGTGATTTCGGGGGATTTGGAGATGCGGAGCCAGATTGAGGGGACGGTGTAAAATGAAGTTATCTTATACTTTCTCAAATTGGACAGGAGGTCGGACCAGTTGTATTTTCGCATCCAGATTACTGTTGCGGCGGAGTAGATGGGTCCGATGAGGTAGCCGAACAGGCCTGCGATGTGGGAAATGGGGAGGTGAGCGAGTGTTGTGGGAGAGGTGGTGGGTGGTTCGAAGGTGCCTTTCTCCATTTCTTTTGCGACCCATTCGCGGACGCTGAGGGAGGTGAGATGGGTTTCGGCGACGAGGTTGGTGTGTGAGAGCATGACGCCTTTGGGGAGACCGGTTGTGCCGCTGGACCAGAGGATGACGATTAAGCTCGATTTCAATTTGACGGGGTCGGTGATTGTTCTCCATTTTAGTTTCTCTCCCGAGATGGCGTTCACTTTGCCATCCAAGCTTTGCAACTTCCAGGCTCCTTTCGTTGAGTCGAGCACAAGGACGTTTTGTGGGGGAAGGCCGCATTCCTTGGCAGCTTTGGCGGCAACATCGCGATGCTCTTCGCCACAGACAATGAGGTTGCTTTTGCCAATCTTGACTTGTCGGGCAAGTTCAGAAACAGTGGAAGAAGGACTGGCGGCAGAGTACACGCCGCCCGCAGCTATGATGCCGTATAGTAAAGCCGGAACCAGAATTTGTCCATGGCTGATTACCGTCACTGTATCTGTATCCGGTCCATCCTTACCAATGCCATACTTGTGTCGAAGGCCATGTGCGATGTTCTGTGTCAAAGCTGAAAGTTGTGCCTTGTTGATCTTGTTCTCTGGATCCTTGGCTTCGAAGTGAAGTACGGTATCATCTTGCGCAGCTGAAAGTTCAGATTCTGCAAAATATGTATTAGCGCCAATAGTGGCATCAGGATAGTAGACTTGCCAAACAGTAGCGTCAACAAGTCCATAGACGGGATCGCCTCATAGCGCTGTGTGGGGTGATGGTAGATCCTCTCTACTGAAGAAGCTGCCATTTTAGTCTTTCTCTATTGAATTCTAATATTTCGTAGCCCAACACGACTGAGTCTCAAGTATTGAGCTGAAGGGAGCTCCTTTGCAATACCTATATCTCGACCACTTCCTCCAATTAGGAAAGGCGAAGCAATGTGCTACGACCTCGACCTCGGCGGGCTCGGGTGGGCGCAGCATGGATGCCCCGCTTAGTCGGTCACGTGGCTAACACATGCCAAGCTTGACATGGAGTTCATGAGTCGCTTGTGTCTGGTGCTGCTGATTAGCAACAAGAACGCTCAATGGTCAAGACCATCGAGTTGGACCAGCTTTCTGACAGCTTTGACAACCTCATTCTCTCCCATATCAAGTCCAGGCTCGTCCAACTTCCTCGCCAGAACCTCGTCAAACATCATTCTCAGCCTGCTGACCAGAACTCCAATCCTAGCCCAGCCTCTCAATCGAATCCAGTCATCGACCAGCAGTCCTCTGCCTTGGGGATCAATTGTGATCGGACCAGAGAACATGAGCAGACTGTAAACGTTGAATGGCGTCAGATCCCGAATGAAGACCTTGCTCGTGGCCATCTTCGTGAAGTAACTCATGTATACCGAGTTTCCAGGGAATGTCTGAGCATCGAAGAGTGTAGACGACGGGTGCACGAAAACGCGGCCGTTCTCTTCGTTGAAGTACTTGATCGTACGAGCTTCAGGATCCAGTTCGACTGCGCCAGAAGACGATGCAGCATATTTCTTATCAGGGAACTCGATGCGGGCGACTTGTGGTTGGAAAGAACCGGCAACGAGCGCGCGGATGAGCACTTCGCTCGTGTTGTTACGATTGAAACTTTCCGCGTTGGCATTTCCAGGTCTGTAGCCAGTGGGAAGGAATCCGATCTCTTGTAGAGATGACAGATATTGCGTTCGGTTGGTGGAGATGTCCAGTAGTGTTTGGTGATTCAGGAAATTAGCATCGCACCACCTCCGCAAGGATGAGGTTGGTTCTCCTCCTGCTCTTCCTTCTGACCATTGCTCATACGCATGTAAATCGCAGATGAGGTCTCCTTGTGTACCACCAAATGAAGTTCGAGCTGCCTTCGACTCATCCCGCTTGTCCTTGGGACTCACAAAGGGACTCTTGACAGTAAGGATTGCGGCAATGGTCAGCGCAGCTTCTAGACAGCCAAATGCAGCGCCATATACCAGCAGCTTGCCACAACGAAGGTCAGCGGGAATCATGGACAAGTGTCGCCCAAGCGCTGTCAGGTCAGTACTGTCCAGGGCACCTATGCGGCCAAGCAGTTTCAATGCCCCTGCTACAGCCAGCGATTCTGGAGGTGTGAGTGCAGAGGCGAGGAACGATGGCACATCTGCGACACCCATAGCGCGTACTGACAAGCAAAGTTGCTCGAGTGGTACCCGCCGAATCTCAGGCTCGGGTCGCTCAGCCATCTTGTCCTCTGCGGATCGCGTGTACAACTTGTAGCACTCGCCCGCCCGAACACGACCAGCACGACCGCGGCGCTGCTTGCATGCAGCCCTCGAAGCCCACACTTCGGCAAGCTTTACCATGTTATTGGCAGGATCGAAGCTTGTCTCCTTCACGCGACCAGTGTCGATGACGGCCACGATATCTTCGATCGTGATAGACGTTTCAGCAACATTGGTGGCTGCAATGACCTTGCGCAATCCTCGCGGCGCTCTCGGGAACACTTTTCGCTGTTCAAAGCTTTGAAGCGAGGCGTGCAACGGCAGCGCGTGCAAGTTCGGAATATTGCGTAGCGCTCGTAATGCTTGGTCAATCTCGCCCACACCTGGTAGGAAAATCAGAATGCCTCCCTCGATGCTACCCAACTTGTGGTCAATGAGCTCAACAGTCCGGGCAATTAGATCGTAATTAATCCTCGTGCCAACAGATCTCAATGCCTGACCAAGGCCTGGCTGTGCTCGTGGCGTTGAAGTCCCCGAGGTGTTGCCGCGGATCACATCGTCAAGAGTCAGATCCGCCAGACCGTTCGATTCCTCTTCTTCAACGGCACCGCCAAACCCGGTCGCTCGAAGAATCTCATCCAAGTAGATGTCTTGCACTGGATAAGTGCGACCCTCGATCCCGACTTTTCCAACGCTAGAGGACGCCTTGAAATAATCCTCAAACATTGCAGCATCCAGTGTAGCACTCATGAGAATGAGTTTGAGATCTTTGCGCTTCTTGAGAACATCCCGCAGCAGCACCAACAAGAAGTCAGTGTCAAGTGAGCGCTCGTGGACCTCATCAATCACCACATGCGAGACATCAGCGAGGCTTCGCACGACGTCGCCTGTACTTCCGCCAGAGGTCTGCAGGCGGCGAAGCAGGACACCAGTAGTCACAAACGTGATCTTCGTAGTGCCCTGTATTTGCTTTGACTCGCCGCGGATCGCATATCCAACCTCTTCACCGACCTTGACACATCTCTCGTCAGCGACACGGTCTGCGAGACCTATCGCAGAGATTCTTCGTGGCTGCGTGCAGATGATGTTTGCCTGGTCACCGAAGCAGCGCTGTATCAAGTCATCGAGGACGAATTGCACAGACTGTGTAGACTTTCCTGATCCTGTCTCACCAGAGATGATTGTGACTTGGTTGTTGTTCACAGTGCTGACGATCGCATCTCGCAGCTTCCAAGCAGGGAGGTTCTGCCGGGCTTGCAACATCTTCTGCTGTTCGGATGTTGTCTGCCGTTCTTGCCAAGTCCGCAAGAGTCCCTCACTCGTAGGAGTTTGTGCCGACCATGAGATAGGTTTTGGCTGTCTCCGCGGCTTCTTCTTCGCAGGCCTCGCCACTGTGATGGTCGAAGTTGAGGTAGCAGAAGCTACATCACTCAGCCTTCCAGGATCAATGATGATACCGGGTACGTTCTGCTCTAGCCAATCCACAATGTTGAACAGCATTTGAGCCCCAAGGAACTCCTCGTTGGCCGCAACGAGCACTTTCTTCAAAATACTGAGACGCACATGCGCAGGCAGCTCGGCTTCGATGGACAAGATCGGTGGAGTGTACGGGTAGCCATTGGAGGGTGGCCGTGCACGCAGGATGATCGGCTTCTCACCCGCCGTTTGCAGCTCCAGACTGACTGTGCACATTGACTGTTGTTTGGTAAACTTGTCGCCAAAAATGGCCTCTGAAGTTGCCATCTCTTCTTCCCAAAGCTCCAGGTCTGGTTCGGAAGGCCTTGCTTGAGGCGCCTCTTGTCCTAGCAGTCTGCACTGAAGCATCTCTGCTGCACGAGCCTCGTCCCCATTGCATGAGTCCAAAACTTCCGCGCAGAGTTCGGGAGAGTATCCAGTCGCGGATAGGCGCTTGATCTTTCCCTGGCGTCTAAGGTCACCACTAGCCATGCTAACGCCAGCCATGTAGTTGTCGGGCAGTGTCCACTTCGGAAGATCGTCTTCCGGCACGTGGATGAGCAGCCACTCGAGGCACTCTTCTTTGTCCTTGCATATCTCAGTAGTCTCCTCCACATGGCTTTTCCGAAATCCAATCTTGGACAGGTCCTCCACGATGCTTTTCCGCTCGTTGGCAGATAGTTTAATGTCGTGGGGGTTCCATGCGCCGCCCTGCCGAATGAGTCGTTCAGCATTGCGCCTCGTCACTTCTCCCATCTCGACTTTGGGCACGCGCATCCAGCCTTTCAAGACGTGTTTGCTCTGAACCTGTCCATCAAGACTGACAACTTCCAGCTTCTTGTCTTCTGCCTGTTGCTTGACCTTGTCCGCTCTGGCCTTGTCCTTGGCTACCTTTTCTTCGTCATGTCGTTTCTTCGCCAGAAATGGGTCTGCCTCGTACATGTACGCATTGCCCTGCCCTATAGCCTCGCTCTTTAGGTCCTGAAAGTCACCTTTCCACAAGTCGCGGTACTTAGGCGGCAGCATCATGTGGATGTTTTTCATATTGCTCACTCTGAACAGGGCATATGCAGCTGCGAAATGCCGTGCTTCAAGAGCACTTTCCTGGGTTCCTCGCTCTTTCAGATAGTCTGGCGGCGGCACGATAGGTGGAAGCGTTACGATCTCCTGTGTTTTCGGATTCTTCTGCTTGATGATAACTCCTCCCGTCCAGCCCCTCGGATTGCGATGGATGGTATACTCCGGTCGCTCCCACTTCTGCTTCTGACAATGCTCGTTGAACATGGTCTGCGGCAGCTTGCCAGTCCATGATGCACCACCGATCAGCGTCCTCGTGTCAGGCTTCTTAGGTTCGTCTGGTTGTGCTGGAGTCGAGCCTGCCGCGACCTTGCCCTTGCTGCTACTTGCCTGTGCATTGCTACTCTCTTGAGCAGGCTTCTTGCTCTTTTTTGGTTTCCCATCGCCGAAGACGATGTAGCTCGTGTCCTCTTCGTTCAGGGCGGCTGCCGATGGCTTTTTCCCGTTGGCCTTGCCAGCTGCTCGAGGTGCATGTGGCTTGTTGACCATAATGTCAACGTCTGCGCGTGCGAGCGCGAGCTAGAAAAGACGTTGATGTCCATTTCGAAATTTTGGGGAAAGCTGCAGAGGGAAGACGCGACCCAGCGGCGGTCGATGAAGTGAACGCGGGGTGACAGCGGGCCGATGTTCAGCTCGTGCTTTTGAACAACTTCACTTCGTTTCCATCTCACGTTCATCACAATCATCAGCAAACTGGGAAGACCTATCACAAGAACGATCGTTGAATACTTTTGGACTACTCATGATGCCCTCCTTCGTCCAAATCGCGCAGCACCACCTGCCTCGCTCCGAATCAGCATCCTCAGAGGACGGCGCGACTTTTCCTTACCACTCGTCATCGCCATCGTATCTTGCCCAAGAATTGCATCTGGTATCCATGGCCAGGAGAGAATTTCTTTCAAGCTCCCTTGTGCGCCTGCTACTCACTCATCTTTGCCGATCCTGTGTCCTGCTGTGTTGTTCCGACGTTGATAGCTGATCCCCTCCGGTACATGATTACGGCGGCAGGGTCGTCCGTAAAGTCTTTTCTGTCTTGACCCAGCGCCTCAAGATGCTCCGTCACCTTAAAGACCGAGTTCGCCACATCAGTGACTCCCATAAAGATAGGACAAGAGTTGCCAAACTTCGCAGCGAGCGCAGCCTTGACGAACGCCGTGACGCTGCTGCCAAACTGGACGGGCTCCGCGACTGATGTTCGATAGTTCCCGAAAGAGAGCTGGACGTAAATTCGCTGGGTGTCTGGGCATTGGCTCGCGAGAGTCGCCATGATGCCCGGCATGTTGACGCCATAACCCTGCTCTGCGGTTACATTTAACTCAGATCGTAAACAAAGCAAGGCTTACAGTTATGCTCCAGTCACAATGCACGACCAAATGCACCATGTCCACGTTTTCCGTTGGGCCATTGAGTATCTTGAAGGAATCGCCGCTGGCATGAATGACAGTCCAGCCTCCATTAGAGTTTGCGGTCTTCGAGGCAGCCATATTTGCGGTCGAGTTGGGGCGGCTAGTTCTGCAGGAGAAAAGCTGTGGTCTTCAAGGATATTTGTTCGCGTGATCGATGGAGAGATCTTCAAGGATACATGTAGTTGCTGAGTGTGATGGGTAGAAAGTTGTCCGACCTTCGAGCAGAAATGGAAAAGCTGACGCGAGGTCAAAAGGCAGCAACCATTCACTCACTTGCACAGCCGCCGCAAAAGTGAGCACATCACTTGCAAACGGACAACCTTTCACTTCTATATCGGTCGCAGCTGCGGAAGAAATCCGAGCAACATTCTGCGAAAGAGAGGCGACACAGTGGACGGCGGCGCAAGAGCACAGGAAGACACTCGATGTTGCAAGCATCGGAAACCACTCACTAGCCCCATCTTCGTAGGAGCGCATTATATGACCTGCCCCATCGAAATCCAGCGTGGACTGAGGCGATGGCGCACCTACCCGCGCATCAATCGCCCACTTGCTAGTCCAGGGCCATCTCAGACTTCTACTTCCTGAAATAAAAATCATGCACTTCCCATGCCAGACTGTCGGGTTAGGAACAAACCAGTTATAGTACATGGCGCTTCTTACACGTGAGAAGGATAAGTGAAGAACAGGAAGGGCGAAAATTATGAATAAGGCAGGAAAGTTCGACTTGGTTGCACTATATAGATAAAACTCTACGCAGGTGACAAAATCACAGTATCAGCGCCGACACATGGCAATCTCCATTCGACTAGCAACAAAGGCCTTCTTGTGCAGGAGGGCCGAGACCAAGTTTTGATGGCTTCTTCATCAATTTTCATTGACGCAAATTGCCTTGGCTTGCTCGGGCTCAGGCCGAGAAACGCGTTGCTCTTTCTCCACGAACGCGTCGACTCCACCGCCGTTCTTGACATCAACTGTGACTTTTCATCATTGCCCGCGGTGTCAAATGAGATCAGCATCACACCGCTCCTGAGATACAGAACTGCAATCTACACCGTCTGCGCATTTTCGGCGCGTCGACAAACTCGGCGCAGAAGCCTGCGAGATAGTTGCATGATGAAAGAGATCGACTCCAGCCAAATGAACGACGATGGACATGAGTGAACTGCCACTCCAGCTACAAGTCGGAGGTCGCTGCTGATGAGCCGCAGACGTTGAAGTGATCATCCATCAAGATGAGCTTATTTGCGATGGATGGAGTCTTGTCTCGCGGCTTCATCTCCGTGGTCCCGGATTCCTCTACAGCGTCCACGTGCACAGTCCTGCAGGTGTAGAGCGCACACTCTCTCATGCTGAAAGTCGCCACAACATATCCATATCTGAGTAGGCGCAAGACGACAGCCGCTCCAGGTCCAATGTGCATCATGCAGTTTGGCGGCTTGCCGTTCAAGCTCCGCCCCCGAGAGCGAGCGGAACACTCCTGTTCAAGCAGATCCAATGGTCGGATATGCACGAAAAGGGATCTCTACCAGAAGTCTTCCTTGACGCACTGACAAAACAACGAAGTATGGTTGACATTCCACTTCACAGCATTGTTTCAAAACAGACTGAGCTCCTACTTTTGCTCATGGTATATCACGATCATCCTGGGCAGTGAGACCGGTACCACAATGGAGCGTCCTATTTACAACGCATCTGACGTATGGCACCAAGAACTTGACAACGGTTGACGATCGGAGACTTCCGTCGTCTTCGCCAACGGTGAGAGAAGAATATTCAAGAAGGTCTCTGGACCATCACTTTCATCTTGCCCTCTCAGACTCTTCGTTGACAGTCAAACACGCTCACTTCTTACACTCATTTAACACACACTCGTTTCATCATGCATTTTTACACAGTCGTGGCGTTGGCCGCCATCGCCACATCGGCCAATGCTCAATTGCCAGGTCTCGGTGGACTTGGTGGAGCAGCCGCCGCGCCAGCTGCGCCGAAGGCCAAATTGACGGCCCAAGAAGTGAAGGCGAGCATTGAAGAGATCACTGATAAGGCCGCCGATACCGAAGTCATCGCTCAACGCATCAAGAGCAAGGCTGACGGCTTTCAAGTCGGTCCCGTGCGTTCATGAAGCTTGTTACATTTCCGTGTCTATCTGGAAACTAATGTTCGCGCTAGGAGCTTATTGTTAGCATCAAGGAGATCAACCAGCTCTTCACCAAAGAGAGCGAGGCTTTGGCGGCGCAGGATGATCTGCCGGAGGCGCCAGAGTTGAAGGAGCCTGAAGCTGCGGAGCCAGCACTGGATAGGCGACAGCTGCCTGTCGATGCCTTAAGCGGCCTTCTGGGCCAGAAGAAGGCTCCCGGCAAAGCACCAGCAGACAAGCGCCAGCTACCTGTCGGCGCCTTGGGCGGTCTCTTGGGTCAAAAGACGGCCCCAGGCAAAGCGGCAGGAGAGAAACGACAGCTCCCTGTCGGCGCGTTGGGCGGCCTCTTGGGCCAGAAGGAAGCTCCTGCTAAAGGTAAAAAGGGAGAGAAACGACAGCTGCCTCTCAACGCTGTGAGCGGTCTCTTGGGCCAGAAGGAAGCACCTGCCAAAGCACCGAAAGAGACCCCAGCCAAAGCAGAAAAGGAAGCTACCGGCAAGGCCCAGAAGACAGCACCTGCTAAGGCCCAAAAAGCAGCACCTGCTAAGGCACTGAAGGGAGCACCTGTCAAAGCACAAGAGCAGAAACGTCAACTCCCTGGTCTCCCTCTTCCGGGCTTGGATAGCGTCACAAACACCCTCTCCCCAGGCAAGCCCGAAGCATCAGCAGATGAGCCCGTGCTTGAGCAGGTCTTCTTCGCCGTCGAAGATCAAGCCGAGATATGCTACGCCTTCACCGACTTGACCAAGGTTCACGAGATGATGCTCAAGACTGTCATCGAGAAGCGCGAGTTCTTCACTTTCAACACGATCACTGCCCAGACTGCTAAGATTCTGCGTCTCCTTGAACGCGAATTCGATGAGTTTGCGGCGGTGCTCATTGAATCTGTTCCAACTTGTGCGTTCAGCGTCAAGCAGGACCAACAGAAGATGGAGAAGACCATGAAGAAGTCCATCGAGACTTTCACCTTGTAGACTGGGCGTGACATATGCTTGCAAGGCCGGCCACGTCGCTGGAGCTGCGAAAGTGACTATGTAGAAGTCAGAGATTCCGTTGATAGCAGGCAGCGGATAGACAGCAACATGCTCTAATCAAAACCGACATGTTGTTAGTGATCATTTCGGCGTGCCGTAGCTTATCTCACCTCGTCCCTCAACGTATTGAACATGTCAACGACTGTACAAACCGAGTTGCAAATCTCGAGCAACGCGTTAATAGCACATTGGTGAGTTTGAGCAAGTCGAAGCGCTCGTAGCTCTGAATATGCAGATCAAGTCCTGAATCAAAGTGTCGTCAAGGTTTCATGGTTGACTTGATTGTGGTTGCGGCGAAAGCGGGAGTGCCATCCACACAAGACCCAAGCCACTCCTCTCTGGTCTGATCTCTGGCATTGAACAGCGTGGTGCGAAGCTGACCATCACCAATTCTCTCTCTACGCGCCGAGCATCATGCAAAGGAGCATGCGCGCCGCTCAGGTGCTCCCCAAGGGCCATGGGGAAGCCATCTACGCCTACTGCAATATCCGCACCAACCAGGTGCTCTACTCATTGGAGCGGACACTACGAGTACGCGCCTGCTGTGTCTTCATGGAGTCATGAATGCTAACAAATTCGCAAGCAATCACATTTAGAGCAGCTCGCAGATGTCGGGGCCAACAACAATCCCCCCAAACTCCGCAAGGATATCTGGCGACCGCTTTTCACCGTCCATCTCCCCGACCGACAGCAGGGCCTCGAGCTGTTTCGAAGTTTGCGCGAATATCGGTTGCTGCACGAGACCAATTGGGATCTACCTGAGTCCATCAAAACGCCATACACCGAGAAGCAGATTGAGGAAATGCAGGCCAAGCTGGACAACCGCGGAGGAAGCAAGAAGGAGACTGTTTTTGATGTTATCAAGCGGGAAAAGAAAAAGCTACGCGTCAAGATGGTCATGAATCAAAAGGCGAATAGCGTGGCTGATCTAGCTGCGATCCTGGTGCGACAGGAGCAACAAAGTGCATCACTGGCAAGCCAAAAGGAAGCCCTGTTGAAGCGGAGAAAATCGAAGGTCCTGGGTGAGATCATAAGTCTGGCGAAGGAATTCGAACGCAGTGGCAACAAGGATCTGGACAAACAAATAGCTGAACTCAGGGCCGAGGTGAAGGAGGCCGTTAAAAAGAGCCTGGACAAGAGTAACACCGCCAAGGTGAGAAAGGAACAGTATCAAAAAGCACAAACAACCCGCGAGGCTCTTCAGAAGGTCAGGGTCCAAGCAGAAAAGAGGCTGTGGGCATCCGAGTCTGTGAAGAAGGCTAAGGAGAGGGCAGCTACCGAAACCTCTTCGCGAGAGGAAGCTGCTAGAGCAAATGAGGCAGCTGCCGAAGGCGCACAGGAATCCAATCCCAAGGAATCTTCGCCCAGTAAGCCAATCGTGGTTGAATACAGGCAATTCATCGAGCCGTACCCACCGGAGTTGGACCCCATCCGTGCAGCACTCGAGGGCAAAGCTTTCAGCAAGCGTGATCCATTGTACAGAGCGCACCAGAGGGATGTGCGACTTGTACAGAGACCAATTTATAGCACGAAAGGCATCGCGGTTCAGTGGGCAAATTCGCTCGATCTCGAATACGCCGAGATGTGGCCCGAGAAAGTCAAGCACTTGAATATGGGTTTTGTCAGGAATGCGGCGCCCAAAGCTGATGCGGAAGCCATTCACGAGGTATCGGACTTTAAGGCCCAGCAATGGAAATCCAGGCCCGCGAACTGGGATGCGGTGCTCAGATCAGGGCAGACAGGGGCAGTGGAAGCTGCGGAGCCAGTCGCTGAAGGTGGTTCAGTAGTTGAGGCACAGGCGGCGGAGCAGAAGCAGGAAGAGGATCGTCAGGCTGTGCTACAAGAGGTCAAAGAACGAATTCTCCTGGACTTGAAGGTCAAAGCGAGTACACCTACGCACCGTTGGCCTAAAGCGCTGGCAAAATCGCGCCGACAGCGAAGAGATTCACTTCGGCAGAACAAGCCAATAATGAGTCAGACTTCGACTACTGAGAATGAGGTGGTGCTCCCTGCGGAACCGACAAGCTCGGAAAATGCACCAACGCTATAGAGGCTGATCGGGAGCAAACTTTTGTGCATGTATGTATAACATTAGTAGATGCCGAATACGATCCACGTCGGACGCAGCAGCCTTTCGGCAGCAACATGATTCGATCGTTGACGGACAGATCTGCCCAGCGCCTGAAGTATGGGGACGATGATAGTTCCACCAGGCCCAGTCACTCGCCAATAAGAACTCCTGGATCCAACTTGGGCCAACCACAGAATTCTCGACCTGCTCGAAACTACTATCAAACACGTTCGATTCCTAGACGATTGTGCGACAAAAATTTTCCTTTGACCGGGCAAGACAGTTCGCTGCGCCTCAGCATCTTGGTGAGACATATTGTTTGCGTAGCACGCAACATAGATGCCATATAAATACACCCTTCAGCGCAGAGCTTGGATTCGGCATACCGACAAGCACACATCAAGTCTTCCTTCTCCAACTTCAGCACACGATGAACAACAACCAGCGTGCTCCGCCCTCTCGTTCTTCGACTCAAGCTGCAGCTCAGTCACTACAATCCAGCCACCCCAATGCCGTTCTCGACCAGGGTGTGCATACTCGAACTAGCTCAATGTTGCATCCTTCGACCACAAGCAGCATCCCGTTAGACCCATGGGCCTCTTCTCATGAGTCAGTCGCCACGCTTTACGGCGGTCGGCCCGCTTTACCTGCAGATGCTGAATGTCCCACACCCGACCCCATCTGGATGCTCTGTCAACTCGATGAGCACGAAGGAAAGGCTCTACGCATGCCACTAGCCTCTCGGCGCAATTTCCTGTGCGCCATAGGCGTTACGCGCATGCACGACGGCGTTGATAGCGAGCTCGCCAACAAGATAATTCTCGAATGGTATCATCTCCAAAGGGTCAATCGCGCTCGTCAGCACAAGGCTGCAATTAAACAACAGCCCACTTTCGCCCGATACCTGTCGCAACAGCCTGCAGTCCCGATCTCTGTAGACGCCGAAGCAGCTCTCAAACGTGTCGCGAGTCGTCGCAAAGAAAACAAGAAGGACACGCCGGCATCCGCCGATTCCAGCCCGGAGAAACCGCCACGACTTGATATCTCTTATGAACATCAGATCGGGCAGCTCAAAGAACGCCTGCAGAATTTCAAGGTTTAAAGCAGAGCACACCGTTCAGAACGCCGGGAGGAACAGAACGACTCCGAGATACTTGCACGTGCACTCATCGACAGCCGACGGGAGATTGGGATCTTGAAATCACGAGAGAAAATTTTGTTCCAGCTGGCACTTGATCGGGAGCTACTGGATGAGGAAGTGGAAGCCGAACATCGTCGGGACTTGGACAAGAAGTTGGCAGAGGCGCGTCTTCATGCTAGACAGGAGCAGGATCAGCACTCGAGGAAGCCAATGAGAGCCACAGAAAAGAAGTCGATCTGAAGAACAATGCAATCCGAGATCGCGACGAGATACACAAGGCGTGCCTTCGAAGGATCGAAGAGGCGGGGGGTCATTTGTACTTGGCTGAGAAGGATTATATCAAAGAATGATTTCAGTGATCTTTGGCACGAAATATGCTTGCACATTGCTCACTGGCGTCAGGTCGGGCGGGAGGGTGTCGAGGATTTGCGGGCGAGGATGATTGACTTGGGACTACGATGTTTCTCTGGGTTGCAAGATGGTCACTGCAGCGTCATGCTCACGCCAGTCGATATTTGATAGAGAATGAAGGACATGACCACCATCAAATGACACTTCTTGTCTTCCGATTCTCTTCCTACAACTGCGTGCATAAGAAAGACAGATGAAGTCCAAGACAGTCCGGTCGCCGCCGGCTTGGCGGTCTGGCACCCTCCGCATCATTTCTTTCTCTGCTCTCACGACCTCCAAGTCACACAAATGCAGATGTTATTCAAGCTGCGAGCAAACACACGAGCTACAGCTTTGATCATGTACTTCAACAATCATCACCTCGAGTATGCGCGTCCCGCGTTCGCACGAAAAGGCTTTTGAATTCCACCTATGGAAGCGTTCCAGAACGTCTGCATTTCTGGTGGCACGCACGAGCTACCCGAAGCCATACCCGAGCGGATCGCTTGCATCGCCAATAGCAACACTTCTGCTGCTGCTGCGATACTTTCTATGCTGAAAGCATGATTGCGCCAGCAGAATGAGGATCTCAAGAAATACAGCCTCCCATGGTCAGCGACTCTTTCATCTTCTAGACAAGGCACTCCGCCTGTAAGGAATCTCAATACTGCCACGAGCACGTGTCGTTACACAGAATCCAGGCGAGCTATATTGGCACCCGTGTTCATGCATCTCAGCTCCCGACATGCAAGCCACGGCTTGAACCTCATTTCTGGCTGCTGATCGCGCCACATGGTCTCACCTCTCCTCCCGTTCTAGGCCCAGCATTGAGAGCTCCCAGCTCTCCACACACCAGATAATCGTCTCCACGCGTCAACATTGAACAACATGGCATATCTGGATAAAGGCGACTACAATCGCCGCTCACGATACATCAACCGCGGCCGCATCATCCTTCTCTGCGCCTTCGTCCTCCAAGGCTTTCTCGCGTACCACCTCGGCGTACGATCTGTAGACATCCCAGAAGAATATGAAGAACCAGCGTTCAATTTCTCTCCGCTCGAGGGCGCAGCTCCAGATAACCCGATGACATGCAGATCGACTACTCAGAAGCCCAACGAAGTTTCCAAGTTCGTTATGGGCTCCATGTCCGATAAAGAAACGAGCTATGACTGGCTCGTGATGGCCAACAAGAATCGCTATGCTGCAAAGCAAGGTTATGACATTATCTGGGATCTTGAGAAGAATCACAAGTACACCAAGGACTGGGACCGCTTGACTGCCATGGAGAAGGTCATCCGAGGGAAACTGAAGGGAGATAATTCGTATGAGTGGATTTGGTGGAGCGATTATGATTCGATCATTACCAATTCTTCGGTCAAATTGGAAAATATCGTCGAAGATGCATTGGCTGAGATTGAAGATTCATCTCGCAGGTCGCAGATTGATATTATCATGACTCCAGATTGCTGGCCGATGAATAGCGGGAGTTTGCTTCTGAGAACCACGAAATGGTCTTTGGGATGGATTGAAGAAATGTGGAAGGAGAAAGAAGTGGAGAATGAGGAAGGGAATAAGAGAAGCTTGCAGGATTGTCTGAGAGTAAGTCTCTTCCTCAGGACAAAATCGTTCTCCACTCAATGCTAACACGCCACAGGACATGTACGCCAACGACCTGCACAACATGAAGCACAAGGGGACCTTTGTGAAGCAATATAAGATGAACGCCTTTCCGACTGAGATCCATTGCCACGAGGATGATCGGCCTTGGCAGGAAGGAGATTTCATGATTCACATGGCAGGCGCATGGGCTCATGTTCATGAGAAGGATCCTACAGGGTTGCTGTTGCGAAAGTATGCGCAGTTTGCTTTTTGATTCGGAAAGGACGTAAGTAGGTGAGTGAGCGCTTTTCTGTCAGCTTCTGTGAGGAATTGGCCCCGCAGATTTCTATATGTCTGGCTTGCCTCCTAGGAGATCTAGCAAGTTGCCGCACTCCGATTTATGCATCGAACTCCTTTCATATTGTACAAAGCCACTTCATGACTAAAGTTGGACCTCTTGACAGGTCGCAGAAGAGGCACGCAATTTGCCAAGTGCAGCGGTCTGCAAAGTATGCCATCTTGAAATCGACACCGAGAGGTCCGCACGATCTCATGAACTCCATTCCGGAGGAGAAAAGCACTGGGATCAGCAGACAACAAGCACTTCTCGGCAGCTCCTCTCAGCCACAAAAATGCCCCTCCAAAACCAGTGCGGAATCACCCACCGCCCTACAGCACGAGATCTTCATCATTTCTCCCTCTCCAACCAGTAAAACATGTCAGATGTCCATCTCTACGCCTATCCCCGCCTCAAAGTTCTTAAGCCGGCCTCGGCGCAGCTATAGTCACCATCAGCTACACTGCCAAGCCTCGATGATATCCCCAAATAGGAAGGAGACAAGCCTCGTCGCAAAGCGTATATCCTACGATCACTTCCTCCTGGGGAAGACTTCCCGCTCGCAGATCTATCGCTTGCTGTCACTCGTCGCTCACCTGCTTTTATTGGTCTGGTGAGTTTCACGATGTGAGCGTGGAGAGATGCAACGCTAGAACACGCAAGGGCATTCGAGTCGATCGCACATGCTGTGGTTGGCGAGGAAGGAGGGGGGAGGTAGTTGCAACTGACAAGAGAGCTAGACATTGTTGTTGATATATTTTCTCACTTTCGCCACACCATCGAAGCTTCAGCATCCCTTCAATCGAATTCTGCAAGAGTCTATTCTTTCTGCTGAGCGAAGCAGCACTCTTACCCAGCATGCTTTCCAAAGCTCTTGCCCTCCTCCTTCTCCCACTTGGAGCTTTCGCATCACCAGTCGACAATGAAGCCCGCCAGGTCCGACCGCTCACCTACGAAGGCTATGAAGCTTTCAAGGTCGACATCACTTCGAGCACCGCCGAGACACTCAGAGCCCTAGAGGGAATCGACTATGACCAATGGGCGCTCGTTCACAACGACCACATTGATATCTCCATGGCGCCAGCTGAGATCGCTAAGTTTAAGAAGTTGGGTTTGAAGTACAGCTCGAAGATGAAGGACATTGCTGGGGCAATCAGAAAGGAGCAGGAGGTTGCTGGGTGGAGTGGTGAGTAGTCTCCCACACTCGCTCTCAAAGTTCAAAAAAGCGATAGGACTCTGAGCTGACGACTTGTCTTGCAGGACGCATGCAAGCCAATGGTCTACCAGACAGCACTTGGTTCAACAGCTACCACAGCTACGCCGAGCACGTCCAATTCTGGAAAGACTTGCAAGCTTCCATCCCACAGCATTCGCAGATGGTCAGCTCGGGAACTTCTCTCGAAGGACGCGATATCTTTGGTTTGAAGCTGGGCGTCGCAAACGCTACCCGGACAAAGAAGGCCGTGATCTGGCATGGCCAAGTCCATGCTCGCGAGTGGATCACAGGCATGACACTCGAGTATATCACCTACTCTATGATCAATGAGTTCAACCGCGGCAACTCAGACGTCGTCAACTTCCTGAACACCTACGATGTAAGCCCATCATGCCTTGCCTTACCATCATATCCATCTAACACAACCCTCAGTTCTACATCTACCCCTTCGTCAACCCCGACGGCTTCATCTACTCCCAAACCCGCGAACGCCTCTGGCGCAAAAACCGCCAACTCCCACCCCGCGGCAGCTCCTGCTACGGCGTCGACGTAAACCGCAACTGGCCTCACCAATGGTCCACCAACAGCGGCGGAAGTAGCACAAACCCCTGTAACCAAGCCTACCGTGGTGCTTCCGCCGGCTCTGAACCCGAAACAAAAGGCCTCACACGCACGATCAACAACATTGCCTCTGCACAAGGCATCAAGCTGTACATCGACTGGCATTCTTATGGAAACTATATTCTGTCGCCGTATGGATATACTTGCTCGAGTTTCCCAGCGAATAATGCGAAGCTTGTGAGGTTGGGACGGGAGACGGGTGATGTTATTGGAGCGGTTTATGGACAGAGTTTTACGACTGGGCCGACTTGTCAGACGTTGTATGCTGTTAATGGCGGTAGTTTGGATTATGTGTATGATGTTAGCAAGGCGGAATTGAGCTATGCATGGGAGCTGCGCGATAAGGGCGAATTTGGCTTCATGTTGCCTGCTGATCAGATTCGCCCGACTGGTGAGGAGAATTGGAGGGGTATGCTGTATTTGTTGAAGAATATGTAAGCAGGCGCTCCGGGAAGGAGGGTTTCGTAGAGAGACTGTGGCTTCGTGGTCGATCGATGGATCAGAGAGATGATAAGCCATTCGATTATTCCACACTTTCAATTACATAGCATTCGGCAGTGCTGTTGCTCCTCCGTCGACAAGCAGATCCGCGCCTGTTATGAAGCTGGCTTGTGGGCTCGTCAAGAAGACAACCGCGTCTGCAATATCTTCTTCAGTACCCTTGCGAGGGAGGGGCTGTGCCTCGATATACTGGGTGATCGGGCCTGCCAGCTCACCCTTGAGCAGATCTTGTCCCATGGGCGTCGAGATGAATCCAGGACTGATGGTATTGATGCGCACATTTCGCTTCCCGTACTCGATACACGCGGCTTTCACGCGTAGAATGTTGGCCACTTTAGAAATGCAATAGGCTTTTTGGCCCCCATCTTTTTCGAGATCGATGGCGGGTATTTCGAGGACTTTGGCTGGAGATGCCGTAGTGAGATGTTGCTTGATTTCAGCAGGAAGGCCTAACTCGACGTGGCCTGCTGTGCTGGCCATGCAGACCATGGAACCTCCAGGAGCGATGATGTCTTTGAAAGCGTCCACGACATGAATGGTGCCGACGAGATTTACATCGTAGATCCGAGAAGCTGGAGCTCCAGTGGGCGATATGCCTGACGTACGTTAGAGGCGACTGATTTTGCGCAAAGCTGTGTGGGGTTTTCACGATAGCTTACCTGCAGTATGCACAACAATCTCGACATTACCCAAGTTCTTCGCATGCTCGACAAACGAGCGAACCGATTCTGCGTCTGCGACGTCCACTTGCTTGGTCTCAACATTGAACCCGGCATCGCCAAATGTCGTTGCGGCTTTCTTGAGAGCGTCTTCAGAATAATCTGCAAGTAACAGGCGTCTCCCACTGCCCAGACGGCGGGCAATGGCCAAGCCCATACCGCCTATGCCAGTGATAACAACAGTCGACATTCTGAAGGATTTGCGAATTAGTGGAAAGGAATGTTGTGTGTTCAGCTCGTCGAAGCGGGGAACTTGAGCTCTTTTATGTCGTAGCTATCCTCAACAAATGTGAAGTGGCATCCGAACCCTATGCATTAGAACAAAGCTACTGCGCAAAAGTGAGGTGGCATGAAGCTGCGCGCACACACGCAAGCATTCACCGGAGATGCAGAGGTTCAGCGCGTTTGGACACCGCCGAGATTGGTAGTACAAGGAGGATCATCGTATGACTCTACAAGGTCCGGCATTGAACGTGATGAGGCATCGTATCATTCTTGCCTGGTTTGCAGCTGAAAAAGGAGGATGTCAGGCTCGTAAATGTACGAATGCCGCACCATGAGCAGTCCCTAGGAGACTTAGAAGCAGAACTGCCGCGTGTGTCGCGCCAGGCTAGTTGTAGAGACGACAATGCATTGCCCGCGAGGTGGGCCGAGATCAAAAGCAGATTTGTAGTTGTGAACTTCGTATTGGAAGCGAAGCGATGTGAATATTGTTGTTGCAAAGAGGAAGAACGGAGAAAGGCCGGCTCTCAACTCTCAAGTTTCGTCTGAGCACTGACCTCATTCGGCAAGATCAGCCGAGATCCCAGTGGCCTTCGGCGAACACGTCTCCGACGAGCTTCCACTAAATACAAACACAACTATACCCATGATGGACGAAGACATGGAGGATGTAGACCGCAAAGCGGAGGAATCTGGCGAAGAGGAATATGACGAGAATGCCGACGAAGACTTCAATCCCGACCAAGCGAAAGACGACCAGGACAACTCCGAGTCCTCGTCCGACGAGGATGACGAAGAAGCAGCGAAAACACCCAAAAAGAAGCCCTCCAGCAAAAAACGCAAAACCGACGCCGCCCCAGATGCAGACCTCGACTCAGGCGACGAAGCCACAATTCGCGAGCGCAAAACGAAGCGAAGGAAAAAGGCAGCGCAAGATGAAGAGGATTCCGGTGGTGAGGGCGGTTTCATTCGCACGCGTCGTCAACGCGAAGTAGAGAAAGAGGAACGGCGGAATCGTAAACGTGGCGTACGGGAAGGTGCCGTAACCATAGACGTGGACAGAGTATGGGCAGAGTTGAGCAGTATACCTGTTGGCAGAACAGTTTTACCACCTGTTGCGAAGAGGCTTGGTGGAGGAGATGATGGAGAGGACATGGATGTTGATGGGGATGAGAAAGAGAACGGAGGGGAGATGGTGAGGATTCAGAGGAAGAGTCAGTATGCGGGAGAGATCACATATGTGGATGTGGATGTTCCGAGGAATAGTAAAGAGGCTAGGAAGTATTTTGAAGAGCATCCGGAGTTGGATCCTGACAGGAACGATTCTGGTGGTACGGGCGATACTGCTGGCAACACGAACTCCGCGTCTGATGCTGCCGCGAGGAATCGTCCACTTCGTCGGCCATCGATGTTCGAGCCAAATCCTACTGGCCTGGTAAAGGGTGTTGCGCCAGAGAAGTTACGTTTGAGGACCCCTTCTAGGCTGGATGTGCTTATGGAGCAGAAACGGCTGGAGGCGAAGAAGGGTGCACAAAAGTTGAACACTATGCAGATGAGTCAATACGACTGGAAGAGTTATGTGGAGAAGGAAGGGCTGAAGGACGAGTTGGATGTGTATGAGAGGAGTGGAAATCGCTTTTTGGCAAAGGAGGCTTTCCTGGATCGCGCTGCGGGGGCAAGAGAGGCGAAGGCGAGAGATGCGAGGATGAGGTTGTGATTATGATGCATGGAACCAAAAGGGGAGTGGATGGCCGCTGCAAGCAGAAGTTCTGTGAAGATGAAGATTGCATTTCTTATGATACCCGGCACTGTCTGAATAGCAGAAGGCCACCATTTAGCATCTACTGGCGCATTGTCTGCTACATTGAAATCAATGCGTGATGTCCACAGCCTCGAGATTGTCGAAAAGAATGTGTAAAACTGTACCTCGTCCATGTAACCTGAATTATGCATTGTTCAGCTGGGGCAGACACAGCGCTGCGCAAATCGTCATTCGGGCCAAGGCACCTCCGAAGGCTCCGGCGAACAGCTGGGTGGGAAGGAACGGCGACAGCGCAACAGAAAGCCTCCTGCTCCTGATCCCTGTTCCCTCGATATTTCTCACTCCACTTCTAGTCCACTGCTCACACTCCTTTTGCACCATCACTCATCTCCCACTTCTCTCCTGATTCCTTCTGCGCAACTTGTCTCCTTCAAACTTCTCTTCTACATCGGCCCCGGCGAACCCGCGACTCCGACGAACCTGCAGCTGCATCACATTCGCGCGAACCGGAACTGGGCGCGATAGCGATAAGACACGAGCGAACGCGCGCGCGCCATATCCCGAAGACAGGCCGCATTGCATCTGCATTGTCCCCTCTTTGCGCCAGTCAGCGGTGGTAGCACAGAGACTCGCCTACAGCTTCCAGACATCTTGCACGTGGGAGCTGACTTTGGAGCTACTGCAACGTCCATCATCTGGAACCTCCTGATAAGGGACCAACTGATCGCTGATCATCGACGCAACATCACCACGTTTGAATCAGCAGAACGCGGGTTATACGGAGAAGGCATACCTGGAGTTCCAGCAAACAGACAAGATGGCTCGCGACGCAGTACAAGAAAGAGAGCGACATAGGGCAAATGGCAACGGCCACTTGAATGGCTCTATGCAACAGAATGGACATCCCAAAGCTCCACAGATTGCAGTGGACAACAACGATGATCAAACGGATGAGAACATCTTTCTCTTCATCCCGAACTTGATCGGTGAGTTCCTCCAGCGCGATACCATCACTTCCATACACTCCCGCGAAGACAACCCACAACTGACGCCCGTTCAGGCTACGCCCGCATCGTCCTCGCTATCGCATCCCTGTACTTCATGCCACTGCACCCACGCCGCTGCAGTTTCCTCTATTCCATCTCCTGCCTTCTCGACGCCGCAGATGGCATTGCCGCACGCAAATACGAACAATCCACACGTTTCGGAGCCGTACTCGATATGGTCACCGATCGATGCACTACCACCTGCCTACTCGTTTTCCTCGCAACCGCCAAACCAGCATATTCAGTAATCTTCCAACTCTTGATCAGTTTGGATCTCGCTAGCCATTACATGCACATGTATGCTACGTTGGTCATGGGCGGACAGAGTCAGAGCCATAAGAATGTGGATGCTAAGAAGAGCTATGTTATGCATTTGTATTATACCAATAAGGTAAGCCGAAGACCGAAGTTCGATGTTGCTGATTTTCACAAAACTGACACCGGACTTCCACAGACCGTCCTCTTCATCGTCTGCGCTCTCAATGAACTCTGCTTCATCGGCCTCTACCTCCTCTGCTTCAGCTCCCCGTTCCTCACCCCAGCCCTCCGAAATCCCATCCCCGGAACCGAATCCGCTACGACGCCCACCTCCAACCCTCTAGATCCTAAACCCTCGCTCTTCTTCCCGAACCCTTTCAGCCCTGCCGCAATGGAATACGCTCGAGCGAATAAGATGGACTCGAATGTGCCGTGGATTCTGTTTGCCGCGAGTGCGCCCGTCATGCTGTTCAAGCAGTATGTCAACGTGGTGCAATTGGTGCAGGCGAGTCGGTGGTTGGCTGAGGGCGACAGGAGGGAGAGGAAGAAGCAGGGATTGCCGAGGAGAAGAAGTGGGAAGGGAAGAATCGCGGGCAAGAAGGGCTTGTGAACAACAATGTGAAAAGGAGGTGTAATATATGATTTTCCTTCTCCTTTCGGTTTCAGGATTTTCGGATGTCTTGGACACGTGCGATGGATGGGCCTTTTCATTTTGTTATGGGAACTTGATGGCTGTTTGAGGATTCTGCTGCTTCACACTAACAGCTGTGGACTGGGAGTATTGAGGAGGAATGGAGGTGCTGGACAGTGCCAGACATCTCGAGAACTGTAGGTGACTGGAGTCATCCTCTTTCTATCTGAGCAAGGACAGAAAGTATGTGTGCGATTAGCGAGGCGTTTAAGGCGCGAAAGAGAGAGACGGAGAAACGGAGGACATGTACACGGACAGAACGGCATTTGTGGAAGTCAACTGAATCCCGTCGTTGTTTACAAACTCATGAGAAGAGAGACCCAAGGGTCCATGCGTCTTATTAAGGAAGAAGAAACCCCGATCGCTAGTGGGACACAAGCAGGAACGCACATAGTGTACTTTGTATAAGAAACCGGTCGTTTCGTGCATCTCAAGTTTCTTTCGGCTGGAGTCTCTACATTTAATGTTTCGAATAAGGGGGCACCATCATGAGAATGAACCTCCCATGCTTGTCTGCAGCCAGTCCCCTTCAAACTAGAATCACCTGTAATTACCCATTATTTCCTCTTCTCCCACCAGCCTTCTTCCTCCTCACATGCTCCTTCAAAATCCTCCTCTCTTCCACCAAACTCCTCTTCCCTTTCCTCTTCGCCTTACCCAGCGTCATGAGGAAATTCTTCTTGCGTGCTTTCTCCTTATTCGTCGTACTCTTCCCCTCCGACTCCTTCTTCTCTTTCCTCCTCGCCGTCGTACTTCGATGATCGTTCTCATGGTCACGAACAAATTTCCCAGTGACGGGATCGACATGGCCGCCTTTGGCCATGGCGATTTTCTCATCTTTGGTCGTTTTGTGACTGAGTTTCGCCAGGCCTTCGATGTTGGCTGCTGTGATAGCATCGTCGGCGTGGCGATTTGTAGGGTTCACGGGGAGAGAGGTGAGTTTGCGACGTTTGTTGGCTGGCATGGCGGCTTGGACTGCAGCGGATTGTCGGAGTTCGTGAAGTTTGGCGAGATCTGCTGGGGTGAGGATGTGGGTTGTTGCGAGGGTCGAGAGGCGAGCTTCTTCTCGTATTGCGGCGGCGTCGGGTCCAAGTGATGCTGTTCGACGGGATTGATCGTCTTCGTTGTCTTTGCTCGATTCTTTGAGTTTGGCCTTTTTCTTCTTGTCGGCTTCGTCCTCTGAGTCGGAGATTTCGATATCCTCTCCGTCGCTTTCGACGTTGATCCAGCCGCCACTGCTTTCGCTGTCGTTCTGCTCAGCCTCCCAGTTCTTCCACGCCTCCTCATCATCTTCTTCATTAATGCCCTGTTCTTCTCGCCACTTTTCGAGCAGTTCCAGACCTTCAATACCACCTGCAACTTCTTCTGCACCGAATCGCACACTGGCATTCTGGCCTACTCTTAGACCCAGCGCGGCATCTCGTCCACGATCCCTCTTCTTTAGCAATTCAGCTCCCACTTCCCGATACAGGGACAGAAGTCCTCGTGCGGCCATTTGCACGCCCTTGTCCTTACTCTTTCGGTACTGCACAAGATCCTGGAGCAGAGTCTCTGTCATTGCAAGCGGCTGCCGCACACACACCTCTCGAATACCATTCAACCCTGCTGAGCACACTTCCGCCGCTGATGCTTCTGAGACAAACTCGTTTGCGATCTTCACGACCAGGGGCTCCAAGAGATCCGGTGGGACGAGATTATGCGATGCTTGTGCTAACGATGCCAAAAATGATGTGACCGACGGCTGCTTGTGCGAAAGGAATTTGATGAACCAGGAGTAAAGCGGAATGAGAGTCAGCTTGTGCAAGCCAACGAGTCGGGACACTAGTTGCAGCACGTAGAGCTTCTGTTCCAGATTCAGCTTGACCTTGGGGTTCGTAGGCTGCAAATGCTGTTGGAAGAGCTTCTCGGCAAACCCCTGCGGATCGTGTAGGAGGTGGAGCGCAGAGAAGTTGAGCGCTTGATGTGCATTCTTCCTCTTCTCCCTCCTCTTGACTTTTGCTTGTGCTGCCGCAAGATCCTTCTCCCGCTTTTTCGACTTCTTATTGATCCCGACCTGGTGCTTCAGCTTTCCGATGTCAACATCACTCTCATCGTCTGTGTCTTCTTTGTCGGCCTCTTCTCGCTCTTGATCTGATCCCAAGAAGAATCGCACGCCCGATGTCACCACTTTCGCGTCTTGTGCCAATGCTGCCACTTCCATGATACTGACCGCCTTCGCGTCTGTCCATATCGATCGCTTCCACAGCTCTCTCGTCAACTTCACAGCCCAAACTCCTTTCGGTGAAGTCGGATCGGATGCAATGAGGTTGTAACATATTGTCTGAATATTGCGATTGAGTTTGTGGTTTTTCGTTTTGCTGTTCGAAGTCCGCAAATCTGAGACGATCTTCTGGAAGAGAAGTGCTCTGAGTGCTTTCGATGGCGTAGAGATCAACAGTGGCCACAACGTGTTCAGAAGAGTGTTGGAGTCGATGATCTCCTTCTTTCGCAGCAGCACCAGACTGCCAACAATTTTGTCTCTCAATTCAGCACCGAGGGCGGCATGGTGCAATTCGATGAGGTTGATCAGGTCGGTTGGGAAGGCTTTAGTCAAAGTCGGGTAGCAGTCGGCAACGTGGGAGACGAAATCGATCAGGTCGCGCAGCTTGACTACGCCCGTGTCGTCGGTCGTGGTGGGCGAGGCGAGGAACAGCTCAAGCAGCGAGCGATACTGGCCATATTGCGCGATGAAGTCTTCGCGATACGATGGCGGGTCGACTTTGATCTTGTGCTGCAAGTTCGGCAGATCGGCGTCAACCTTCTCCAGCGCTCCGACCTTGCGCTTCATCGTGGGAGAGATGTGGTGTTTGCTTGTCTATGCGTTCGCAGTTGTCCAAAATTTCCAGCCGACTTTCCTTCATGGAAGCGGAGTCAGGTCCTCTACGGATCTAAGCGCAATCGATAACAAATGCCAAGGCTACATGGCTCTCACTGCCTTCTGCCACCGTCCGGTAAAAAGGACTTGCGTTGCTACAACACGGATCACTCTACCCATTGCCGCATTTTAGCTATCAGCCTGCTGGCGCAGACGTATTGAATACAATCTGCGAAGTAGCTCAATAGCCACGGAACGACTAGACGATACGGCAGCACGAGCGCGACCGAGTCACGAGCGACGTCGTAATTCAACACTACAATAGCTTTCCCCGAGCGGCGCACAGGATGCCAGCCTGAAATTGCAGGATCCCATACTCATGCTCTCAGCCATAGAAACGCGTGCGTCCATGCGATCCGAATGCATGTAAGACGATGGATAAGGTAAGATGGTGAGAAATCTCGAACCGGTACGACACGAGCTTTTTGTCGGCCACATTATGCATCGACATACCGGCGTTTCATGCTGGGTTCAAAAACATATAAGGGTGCCTTCACGCTCTCACCGCCGGTAGGAGATAGCAGGAATTGAGTAGGTACGACTAATCAATAGCGGGTCTTCGATTCGCAATTGGAGAAACCTGGCCGCGGGACCCATAAAAATGTTTTTGCAGCAAGTATAGCAAAGCGAACATATTCCGCGAACAGCCTCCTATGACGACTACACCCGGACGCTCTGTCACAGTGCACTCATAGCTTGACTCCACAGGCTCAGGTTTTGCACAGCCAAGGCCGGCCTAGCATGGCTACTATGGAAAAGTATGGAAGATTTTGCAATTGGATTCTGGTTATAAAGGAAGATCCATTATAGTTTCATGCCTCGCGGCCAGCTTCACCACTCGAATATCGTTTGACGGCGATACTTTGCTTCTGCGATCATCAGCAAGAAAGCATCGCAAGGCCAGCAGCCATGCGCTTTTCTGGGCTTCGCGCTGCTGCCGTTGCAGCTATTGGAATCGGCAGCGATCTTGTTGAGGCTACCAACTCGTCAACACTCTTCTCCGGTGGCACTATCATAGCATTTGACAGCACCTCTGAGTCCCTGCGCGTCATCGACAAAGGTGCCTTGCATGTCGTTGGAGACCGCATCGCTCATGTCTTCGATTCAGTGCCCGAATCTGGCGCCGTACCCAATGGCACGGAGCACATTGACATCACGGGCCAGATCGTCACTCCGGGCTTCATCGACACACACCGCCACGGATGGCAGACGGCTTTCAAGACCATCGGCTCCAACACCTCCCTGGCCGAGTACTTCGGGCGCTATGGCGAGTTCGTAGCTGGACCACTTTTCAACGCTGAGGACGTGTATATCGGCCAGCTTGCGGGCCTGTACGAGATGCTCAACGCTGGTGTCACGACGTCACTCGACCACGCTCATCATACCTGGTCCAATGAGACCGCCATCGCAGGGGCCAAGGCCTCTGTTGAGAGTGGTGCCCGAGTCTTTTGGGCGTACACTATACACGAGCTTTCCAACAGCACCTTTACCGTCCAGGAGCAGCTCGCAAAATTCCGTGATATTGCTGAGAGTGAGCTATTTGAAGACTCGCAGACCGAGCTAGCTATAGCCTTTGATGCCTGGACGGACACTTCCGAAAAGTCTGTCCTGCAGCAAATAATCGACTCGGCGGTATCGTGCAACGTCTCGGCTCTCACAACACACCTACTCCATGGACCATGGGGAGCCTCGAACCTGCCATCAGCACTGCATGAGCTTGGCATTCTGAACACTTCCATACCGGTCGTCTTCTCCCACGGCAGCTTCCTCCCAGCAACCGATGCACAGCTGCTGCGGACTACCAACCAGTATCTTTCCATCACGCCCGAGTCCGAGATGCACTACGGTCACACCCACGAGCATTCGGCGTACATCCAGGACCAAGCGAGTTTGGGCGTAGACACACATTTCACCTTCTCCACGGACATTCTCACGCAGGCACGCATGTGGCTTCAGAGCGTCCGCTACGACTTCTCCCTGGACGTCCCGCGCAAATGGAAAGTGCCAACAGACACACCTATGACCGTTGCGCAGGCATTCTACCTCGCTACTCGCGCTGGTGGCTTGGCTCTACGCCGCCCCGATCTTGGTGTCATCGAGGAGGGAGCCAAAGCAGATCTGGTCATTTGGGATGCTAGGGACTCACCTGCCCTCCTTGGTTGGCGAGATCCCATAGCCGCCATTATTCTGCACGCAAGCGTTGGCGACATCCTCCACGTCACAGTCGACGGCAAGTTTGTCAAGCGCGATGGACGTATCGTGGCCCCAGAATATAAGAATGTTCGCGAGAGGTTCCAGGCTAGTGCTCGCCGCATTCAGGATAAGTTACTGAACACACCGAACCCAGTGCTTGAGGGCTCGTTCCAAACGGGCTGCGAGTACGAGGGGCCTGACAGGGTAGACACTTTGCGCGGACAAGGAGACGGGTATGAGCAGCCGACGTTCGTGAACTTGTAGTAATAGGACATCAAACTTCACAAAGTAATCGCATGTGAGAACAGAACGACTACATGTGCACCGACAATCAGTCGCGGATTTAACTGTGATCAGCATGAGTGTGGCGGCACTACGTCCGCGACTTCCAAGCCTAGGTAGCCTTTCGCAGATTTTATCCAAGGACGTCGTTTGCCTTTGGGCAGGGGGATTTTAAAATGGTACCTGAGATGGCGTGAGGACGCATGTGGCTCCAGTCATTACATCGAGACCTGATATCATATTTCTTGGTTGTGCGATGTCGATTGTCTGTTCCTCTCTTGTACAAAATTCGATCCTCCTTTGCCTCATTAAGCAGACCTTCCCACTGTTTACTCTCCTTAATTTACACATCGAATCCCTGATCGATCGTCTACGAAGAAACACCAACGCAATAATTATACCCCGCCCAAAAACTCGACTGACAATTCTGTCCATTGTTTCCCAGCACCGGATTCCACCGATAGAGGTTCTGCAACGAGATCCCAAACCTTTGAGCAAAAGCCGAGCACGTCCCGCCCGCGTTCGCCACGCCATATCGAGAGCAGTTGGACGGTGTGCCGGCTTGAATGGGAGTGGGTGCGGGGTTTGTTGGTGGTGCTGGAGGGGTTGTCGGTGTGCCGGATACTCCAACACAGACGTAGTAGCCGGCTTGGAGTCCGCCGCAGGTGTTTCCTACGGCGGGGTTCCATGAGTAGAATTGTTGTAAGGAGAAGGTGCCGAAGCGGTCAACGATGGCTTGGCAGAAGTCGCCTTGTTGCACGAAGTAGTATCTTTGACATCCGGCGATGAGACCTGGCTGTTGAGGTTGGGGACCTGTTGGCGTGGCTGTTGGGGCGGCGGATGTGGTTGAAGGACGGGTGGTTGGTGTTCCGATTACGCCGACGCAGACGTAATAACCTGCTTGGAGGCCTCCGCATGTATTTCCTACGGCTGGGTTCCATGAGTAGAATTGCGATAGGGAGAAGGTGCCGTATTGGTCTACAATCGCTTGGCAGAAATCTCCTTGTTGGACGAAGTAGTATTGTTGGCAAGTATTGATTATACCAGGCTGTTGAGGCTGTGGACCGTTTGGCGTAGTAGTAGGGGCAGCAGCACTGGTCGATGAAGGACGACTCGTTGGTGTGCCTGCAACTCCAACACAGACATAGTAACCTGCTTGGAGCCCACCGCAAGTGTTGCCGACTGCTGGATTCCAGTTGTAGAACTGGGTAAGTGAAAAGGTACCGTACTGGTCGACGATCGCTTGACAGAAGTCTCCTGCTTGGACAAGGTAGAAGTTCTGGCAATCTGGGGTCAAGCCGCCTTGAGTTGGCTCAGGCTTCGAGGGGTTATTTGTCGTTGTTGGAGGAGCAGTGGTGATTGGGCTTGTTGGGGCTGTGGTGGGAGTTCCGCTGACACCGACGCAGACATAGTAGCCGGCTTGCAGACCTCCACAGCTGGAGCCGACGGCCGGGTTCCAGGCGTAGAACTGGCTGAGACTGGAGGTGGAAATCAGCAATGGTGAAGTAGCGCAGTAGAGAGTAAATGGAACTTACGAGAATGTGCCGAACTCGTCGACAATCGCTTGACAGAAATCGCCACTTTCCACCAGATAGAAACGTTGGCAGTCTGGAGTCAGACCGCCTTGAGTGGGCGAAGGCGTTGTTGGACCGGTGGCAGTGGATGTTGTTTGTGTTGATGAGGAAGAGAGCGTACTGGTCGAAACGGGAGAGGAAGAAGTGCTTGTGGGAGCTCCATTGGCTTCAACACAATAACTGTTGCCCTCAATTAAGTTTGAGCAGTCACTGCCGACGATCGGATTCCAGCTGATGAAGTTCTGCTCTGAGACACCCCAGAAGGATGCGATGGAGGCACATGTCTCGCCTTGATTGAAGAATGGAGATGGCCAGTCTGTGTAGTATGCGCACAGAGGCGTGGTAGAAGGATCGATGGGCCCTCCGACCACTTGTCGTTTTTCGACGGCAAGTGCCGCTGCTATCGTAAGGAGTGAGAAGAATGAAAGGAAATGCATGGTTGGAAATGAGTGACTATGGGTAAAAAATGTACACGAGGATGAAGGTGAGTGCCGATGAGCGAGGACTGTCCTTGACCAGCAGCGTTTCTTGTATATGTACGATTCGTGTTCAAAGGCTTAATCGTAGCTGTGCAACTACCGCCTCTAGCTCATGGTCATTTTGAATTTGATACAGTATCTCCTTGCGCCTTGTCCTGATGCCGTCGCGAAGGACCGAGTTGAGATCTTCCACTTCCGTCATGTGCTAACCGACATTACCTGGACGCATAGTTGCGGAGCTGAATGCAATCCTACTCACATGATGATCTCGTTGTTGTCTTCAGAGTCACCGTCAAAAGGGGTGGGATTGAGATCTATACTCGTTCCCTGATAGAGCCGTATGGCTGGCGAGGTTAGGATGGTTGACGTTTAGCCGGGTATGGTCTTATGAGTTCGGGATAAACCCCGATCCTGGTATCGGTTGCCCTCTAAGTCTCATGCTCGGCGCTGGGAAGCCAAAGTGATACACCCATTTCCTTGGCGAGCAATATAGGCACTGGGCCTGCCTGCATATAGTGATAATGTGGATCTTCCTGATTGGGAAGTCAAATGTGTTGGAAGATCCTTCGCCAAGGACGAAGAAGCGATCCTTCTTTTCGTACTTGAGTGAGGCTCCAGGAGCGATAGTGCTATGCTCCACTCTCTTGGCAGTTGTCGGTCTTCCGAAATCCGATCTTTCACATTGCACGGAAGAAGGAAAGTATCGTGACGGGTGCATGACCTCAACTGCCGATCTTCTCACTATGTACGGTCTATTGAGCGCTTGCGCAAATCCTGGCCTGTCCGCTGCATTTACGGAGCTTCAATGAGCCGTGGGCGCTCGACAGAGTTGTACTCAAAATGGTGATGTTCGGAAGGGTGTTCCAGTCGTGTGACCGACCCTATTGATGATTTTGTCCTATGTAGCGATCGCAACTTGACTCCTCATCTGTAAAAGCAGCGCAGTGCAAAGTAGTAGTTGTCTCGCGCTGGATTTCCGGATGCTGGAGCACAGTCCAGCACGTCTACTCCCGTGAATTCTAGGCAAGTAGCCTCATACCCACCGTCACAAGTGATGAAGCCCGGTGGCCCATCCGGATCGCCTTCATAAGTGCAATCATCACGGCCTTCGAGGTCGAATGGACCAAGAGAGTCGGGAAATTTTGGCGGCGAGGACCGGCCGACGCCCTTGCGCACAGCCTGAGGGAAGTCGTTCTGGTTGCAGAAGTTTGAGCTCACTTCCTCTCCGATTGGCACCGTGATGCCGACCCAGCTCCAATTAATGGTCGCGCCACCGATGCTTCCCACAACGATCTCGCGTGCAAGGATGACGAAGGTATAGTCATTCGGAACTGAGGTGGGAGCCGGTGGATCTGTCGTCGTGGGCCTCGTTATGGTTGGTCCTGTGGGCAAACGAGTGATACTTATTGTAGCTGATGGACCTGGCAATGATGTATAAGCGCAGCTGTTTGGAGGATCCGTAGCCGTGGACTGAGGAAATGTCGAACCATCACACACGCAGTAAGCTCGGGTGATACCCTGGCCAGGTTGCTGGTTCTGTGTTCTGCAGGATATGTACGAAGCGGTGGTGCTCGGTCGCGGCGTAGTCACTGGTCTTGAAGTTGTTCCTCCGCCTCCATTTCCACCACCAGGAATTGGAACATCGACATTTGGCTCGGTTGGTTCTCCATTCTCGTCAAGAGGCGCCGTGTACCCCTCTTCTATGAACAGAGGACAAGATTCGGCGGATGAGGAGCTACTGCTAGCTGATGAAGTGGTTCGAGTAGGTGACTCGCCTGGAGGTGGTGTTGGGGGAGGGGGGCCTGGGGGAGGTGGAAAGCCGCCCGGAGGAGGATTGCCGCCGGGAAAGTCTACGCATCCTAGGCCCAAGCAAGGACCGTTATCGCAGCCGATTCCAATGCAGTTGCAGCCCAACCCGAGAGGGGAACAAGGCTCAGGCCTCGAGCATCCGAATTCGCATGGCTCTCCGCAACCATCCTCGCAAATTGGCCCAGGCGTGCCGGTTGAGACAGTGACTGTGGGCGGGCAGTCTCCACAGCTTGTAGGGGGTGGAGGCTGCGTTGTCTGATCCGGAGGTTGTGTTGGCTGACCTGTTGGGATGGTTGTCGTTTGTCCTGGGGTAGTGATGGTTGGCGACTGGCCCGGTGGCAAAACTGTTGTTGAAGATGTGACAGAAGGATCCGAAACTGTGGCACCGACAGATGGGAAAGGTCCCAGCAGAAATGTGTATGTGGCACCTTCGATAGTGGTTTCTTCATCATTCTCCGAGATCCTGTACACCGTGCTCGATTGAGTCAAGGTTACTGGTAGTGTCAGAATTCATTCAAATCGATAGATATGGTTGGATTCTCTTACATGGCGGGAATTTTAGACTGCTCGTCAATGTCGCTATCGACTGATCTGTGTTTGTCCATACCCAATTCCAGACATTGATGGCAGTAGTCGTAACTGCAGGGACGGTGATCACGGTGACTGACTATACATTAGCACAGCAATAAATTACCGGCGACGTACTGCTCACCAGTTGTAGTCGTGAATGAAAGCGTTTCTGTCATTGTCGCACCATCAGGATTCCGACGTGTTACCACATCGTTCCATGCGTTCACCACTGTCGATGTGATGGGAGGCGGAGAGATGGTCGTAGTGTAGGGCAACTGCCAGGGCGGAAATACGAAGGTGCATGGGGGTTGACAGAAAGCGACTGGGTTGGGATCGGAATAGATGGAGGGATCAATGAGAACCACCTCGCCATTCTCACCGCCGCCACCGCCATTGCTACCATTTCCACTGCGAGTGCCAGTAATGTCAAGGTCGATGGCCTGGCAATGAAGGCATTAGCATCACGACCCACACATCACAAGTCAGGTGCAGCTTACCCAGTCAGAGATCCCTCCAAGGCCGAGACCGCGAGCCCAGTCCGTCCGAGAGTCATAGGTAGATTCCGTGGCCCACGACACCCATTCAGTCTCATCGTAGACCAGTATGTTACCAGCTTCCTCGGTATAGTATTCCTGAACGCTGTGCTGGCCCCCTTCTATGATTTCGCGGATCTCCAGGTTGGAAAGGTAACCGCCTACTCCAGTGCAACGGCCAGGCGCTGCACCGCTGGACGGCCCACTGAAAGTGCACTCTCCAGTGTAGCAGCCGGCAGAGCTCATTTTAAAGCTGCGCCCGTAGAGAGCTTGACCAAGCAAGAGTTTGTTTGCAGGGACTCCCGCTTTCGTAACCATGGAAAGCGCCGTTTCAGTCTCTGTCTGGTTGATGTGTGAACGAAGGCAATTGCCGTTAGGACATCCTGGTGAAGTCCACTTGTTACCATAGTCCCATTGCCCATGAAGATCGTAGGTCATGTAGACAATGTAGTCAACCACCTGTGAGATCTCTGCGATGGGAAATGCTTTGAGGTACCAGAATGATGCAGGTGCGGCGATGCCGATTGTGTATTGCGACGGCAGAGCTGCACGAACAAGCTTGAGAAACTCAAGGTAGTCGAGTCCTCTTTCTGGTGCGTCAACAGGAATGCCCGAGCCTTGACCATCGGGAGCCCCAGGGTACTGTCGCGTATGTTAGTTACCAGATACAGCAAGTTTGAGTGGGCAGAGTCTTCCTCACCTCCCAGTCAAAATCGACTCCATCCAAGCCTTCTCGCTGGACGAAATCGGCCATATTGTTCGCGAAAGTCTGTCTGTTCGCTGGCAAAACTCCTTGTCGGAAGATGTAGTAGCTCGAACGCTGGGAGAATTAGCCGTGATAATCACTATGCAGTGCGGTGTAACGAGTGACTGACCTCAGTAGAGAACGCCCAGCCGCCGAAAGATACTATACGTTTGAAGCCAGTCGCTGCTTTGAAATCGTTCCAGTCATTCTCATAGGGTGAGATCGAGGCACGGAAGTCGTCAGTGATGTCTCCAAATGCCCAGTGAACGATGGTGTATTTATCAGGAATGTCAGAAATGGACATAAAGTTGCATGGACGATCAATGTGGTACGATTCGTAGTAGCCCACGTGCTCAAAGTTCGTAGGTCCTGGGCCGGTGATGATGTCGGTGCCACAATTGGATACACAGCCATTACTTCCAGGTGCAGCGGTGCCAGGATTGCCAGTCTCACTCGGACTGACTGTGCAAAACTCGCTGGTGATGCCACACTGGCCCCAGATGTTGCAGCACGCATTGAGGGGACATGGATTAAAGTCGATCCAGTCATCGGGATCTGTAGGACGTGTGCTTATATCATCCAGAGGAGCTTGAGGTCCACAGACAGCGTTGGAAACTTCCGCTGGAAATGGCGGCGTTCCAGTGCTGAGGCATATCTTGGCCCCCAGAAGGATATTCTCGCAGCCCATCCATCCCCAAGTTTGAGTGTTCCGGGCAAGTATGTCGTCGACGGTCATCTGGTGGGCTTCAGCAATATCGAAACATGTGTCTCCAGCTTCTACAGTGTATGCAACACACTGGCCATCGGCGCCCGGTTGTGGCGAGAAGTCAGGAAGATCACCGCTGGAGCAGCAAACGTACTTTGGCATCTGTTAGCATGGATATATCTCGAGAAGTGGCAGTGAGTACCTCGTCAGGTTTGAGACTGGTGCAAAGACCGTTTCTGTTATAACGTTCCATTTCTGACTGCGGGATTCCACATCGTTGAGCGACCGAGAAGCACCCATCTCCGGCTTGCACTGCGAAGGTCAGTTCTCAGTCCATTACTCAAAGCACTTGCAAAGACATACCCTGTGTGTATCGGCACGTATCTCTACGCTGAAGCGATGATCTCGCATCGAGTCTGGTATCTGCAGGCTCACTGTCTGTACTAGGCACCACTGAGACGTCGCTTCCGGGCATAATATTGACCGTGACACGTTCCCAAGTGATAGAAGTACCACTGGTAACACATTCAGCGTCCTTCCAACTTCTCAGTGCTTCTTGCACTGCGGCCACGTCTCCGGTGGTGTCTACGACTACTCCAAAGAACTGTGGACTGATAGTGCCGTTGCCAGAGCCGCAAGCCTGTGCAATGGTCTGCTGCGCCTGCGCACCTTGACTCAAGAACGAGCCTAGACGTGACACAGCGGAATGCGCGCTGGCTGATTCGACCTGCGATCCAGAAAATAACCCTGCAATTGTCTGGCCAGCTCTCGAGAAGAGGATTGTGTTCTCACGAACACCATTCTGGAGATATGTCTGCAGTCCACTCAATGCAGACTGTGCACTTGCAGCATCGGCCGAAGGGCTTCCAGAAGTACTAAGGGTGACCAGACTTGACTCAGGAACTGTTTGGTTGAAAGAGAGCTGCTGCCTCTTCACGATGCGACTGCCGACGTTCGTGTCCTCGCCGATAATGTCACCCGTAACAGTACATGCACGGAAGTACACATGTGTGTTGGGATCGTTGACCGCATTTTTGACATTCAATTGAAAGATGGTGGTACCATCGCAGCTATCGAGCTCGGCGAGATCGTAGTAGTATGTCCAAGAGGTTGGACTCTCGATATCGCAGCGAGCCGGGCATGGCGATGTCGAAGAATCGAATTGTTGTCCGTTCGCGACTTTCAGAAATGTGATTGTGCAGGCTGCCAGCCAGCTCTGGTGAATGAGCATTGTGATTGCAATGCAGACAACCAGTCGTTATTGGTGGCGAGTGTGAAAGATTGCGGCATGCAAAATCAGTCCGTAGACAAAATACCGCTGAACAGAGTGACTCCTCGCGCTTCCTTTTCCTTTCGTCATTGCTCGGCCTGGGTGGCTATGGAATTCCGTCCATAGCATATGGTCGATCATCGGCCCAATTCGCCTCGAAGACTTTTGTCCACGGCATCATGGCCAAGACGGTCCGGCATGAAGGGTCAATCTCTGAGATCCTGCTCGCATACTCGATGTAACACTGCCCTCACCGGTCATGCTCGCTGTCATGGGACATTGATATTTCATTGCGTCAAAATGTACAAATGAACAGGAGGCGATGTTGTGTAGTGGTGGAGCTCCAAGCCTGGGCATGATGTTAGTGCTACTGGCGTCGATTTTGAGTTTACTGGCAGCTGTATGAGGCCTAGCGTCACCGTCCTATGCACAAAGCAGCTTCCCGCTTCGCACCCGAGGTACGCCAAGCCTTGCTCAATATAAATCTCTTTCTCGAAGGATCAATTCACGGACTGGGCATTCGAATGCTCATACCCGATCCAGGAACATCCGCGCAATGAGTTGTTGCACAACATGCTCAGCTGTCCTTGTTTGGCTGAAATGAGCAGACATTCCACCATGGCAATAATCCCCACCCTGAGCAATCCTCGCTCACCTCATCGCTTGCAAGCCTCCAAGATCAATGTGGCCGTCAAATGCAACCACGGCACGAATGGCTTCCGCCCTGGTGCGTCGCCACAGGGTCATAATTTGCTACAAGCATGAGATAGCCAGACTCGTCTGAGCATGAGAATTGGAGCCAAGAATCCTTCGACTGCCGGCGTAGCATGATGTCGTGAAAAGATACAGAGAACCTCGCGATCATGGTCTCAGCTGCATCCGTATCTTCAATTTTCTGGTCGTTTTTCCACAATCGTTGTCAAGATGATCATTCTACGACTCATTGCGTTAGCCGCTGCTGTTGTTGCCCAAAACCCTCCCCAGGTCAACTTCATGCTGAGCTGTGGTCTCTATCCACAAGTTTGCAACAACAAGTGCTATGCTGTTTTTCGAGGAGGTGCCCCGAGAACCGTCACTTGGAGTGGCTTGACACAGGCGCAAACTGCTGGACGACGCCGCATTGCTGGCACAGAGCCTAATCCTTGCTGCAATGGAAGGATCACGGCGCCACCGGTCTGCTCAAACACTGACGGCACCGAGACTACGTGTACAAGTCCTGACGAGTACCCGTATGCTTCGACTGATGAGTTTGGCAATGGACCGGCTCCTAATGGTCCAACATTTATCAGATGCACTGGTATTGATGAAAATGTATATGAGGGTATGCAGGACTACAACAATGGCATACTTCGAGCTAGAGTTGCAGATGGAGGGTGTGGACAGATAAGAGGCTGTAGGATCACGATTGGCTTCCAGTTTGTTGGTATCTACTCCGACGCGTGCATTAATGGGGCCAATGCTGTGAACGATGGCCACTATTGGCAGTACAATGGAGCCTACTCGTTGGTACCAAGAGGTAAATGCCCATTTCCGAGCATCAGTATCATCGTATGCTAAACTTTCGACAGATGGAGAGGAGTCCCGCCTACCTCTGTATCAGAGAGCAGATCCGCCTCTAGAGTTGGCAATTGCTCCAGAGAGACGTCGAGAGCTCGTGCTGGACAATGGAGACCATGTCATCGTGGCTCCAGAGGCAGATGGCGACCCAGAACGGGCATGGATTGGCGAAGTATGGATGATGGGGGCCAATGGCACTGCAACAGTCGTGCGGGAGCTCTTTGGAGATGAGAAGAGCGAGCCGTTCAGACCCGGAAATATGACCTTGTGAAAGGTCTTGTCACTAGTGAATTTCGGCCTCTAGCGATGAGACAGATACATAGCCTGTGGAGGCTTCGAGCATACGAATGGCGTGCGAGTGATGGAAATAATGCTCCACTCTAGGATCTCACCCTTGCCTACGTTCTTTGAGCGCAGCCTCTCTGAGGACTCCATCCTCTGTTGCTTGCGCCGCGGCTTGGTCTGCCTCGATATTATCGCTCTCATAAGCCATCTCATAGCACATCAACTGGCTGTACGCAACCTGAAATTCTGCACGCACAGTCTTGATCTCACCCTCCTCCCCCAGGAACGGTGCTTGCACCAGCAACACCGTATCGTCCTGAAGTGTCCTCTCATCCATGACGATGAAAAGGGAACAGCGAATATCGGACTCGTTCTCTATACGCAGTTTGCGCAGCAGCTCAAGGCATTCTTGGGCTGTCTTGTCTTTGAAAGGTGCTTGACTCGTGCCAAGGTCGTCCCCGATCTCGGATTCATCAGAATATGTCGCCGTGAGATCGTCGATGAAAGCCATATAGCAGATCATCTGGTTCTTGTAGTTTTGATTGGCTTCGATGAAACGGTCTTTGACCTGTATGTGGTATGAATTCATGGAAGTACACGCCACAGTATGGTGATGCATACATCAGATGGTATGTTGGCAGCACAACATATTGGAGTCATTCGTCCGAAATCAATCATTTGGTCGTCGATAGACATCTTGATGAATTGCTTTTGTGCTGAAGCGCTGTGCTTTCGTAAACAGAAGTAAGCAGCGGAAGATCGAATTGACGAAGCTGTGTCGAAGGAATGCTGAGGGAAACCACTAGCGCCACTACTAGTGGCAAAGGATCAAGGTCCTAGTGAGCGCCAAGGTGCGTGTGCCTGCAACCTGTGTCCTGAGACCCACTACTCACGTCACCTCCACACTCAGCCACGATGAGTATTGGAGCACGTTTGTGCGACATAGATAAGACTTGCCTGAAAAGATCAACATGGTTACTGGAATTGCATGTGTAGCGATTCGCAAAATCATGCGATGATTCTGAGAATAGACGCTCACATGAGACTCCACAACTCATGGGCTTGCACAACAGCGACAGTACAAGAATACACAGCCGTATAAGAGCTGGCGAGTGGTGTTGGAAAGATGCTAACGTGAGATCAGCCCGTCTCCATACAATGCTGAAAACGGTCGTCGCAGATTGAAGGGAGATAGAAGGGTGAGAAAAGTGATCTGTAAGCGCGGAAGCGGAGGAAAAGTGGTGCGTCATACAGTACTCAATAGATGGCCGTTGGTCGTCAACAGAGAACAAATAGCTTTCTTCGGATTTATCGTATTCCTCTGATGCTTTGATGGAGATGTCTTGGAAGTTGTGGACGTATGTCACCTCTTCTCGAATGATGAGCAAAGGCAGGATCCTATGAGACCGACCCGCGCTTTGTGGACATCTGGGCGCTATAGCGGCCAAAAGTGAAGATGAGTTGGCAAGTTGTTCGGAACGGAGTGTTGTTATCCCGAATGAGAGCTGCAGTGGTAAGGTAGGATCATAGGAGGTAGGCCATACATAACTTCCGCAAAACATCGTCTGCTACGGATCTAGCCGTGATCGACAACAAGGATCAAGGATCGGCATCGTTCTCGTTCCTGCTTGTCACGAAATGCCGAGGCTGCACTTTGCACGTCTCCAAAGTGTCACATCGTCCGCTAATCTTCTGGCAATCATCTGTATCACATGAATGCGAGCTTGTCACATTCTATGCGTTCACACCTTCGTCTATTGAGTTTCTTCCGAGTGAATTGGCATACCATTCGGCGACTTTTCGGCGCCGAACCAAGCAGCAGCCTCCCAACTTCACATGCAAAATTACTAAAGTGAGAGAGGCAACATATTGTCCACAACCTTGGTCACTATTGTTCTATTGTTCCAATTGGACCTGGCTCTGTGCGACTTTTGAGTACAACAGCACTTCGCTCCGCACCTCTACAAACCACTCGCTGTCCAAGGAAAATCAACTCCAAATCATCGCAAGAGCAATCGAGCTTCGACAGATTCCAGCACCGAGTCGAGTCGAGTCGAGTCTCTGCAACCGGGCCCGAATTCTGTCATCGATCAAAATCCACCACCATGGCAGCCGGCAAAGCACCCGATGGCTTTGAAGTCCTTACAGAAACAATTTCCATCCAACGGCCTGAGACCAACGCATCGAGCGACGAAACCCCGCCTCCCCTATTCGTTATCTGCAGCTGGATGGCCGCTTTCCCGAGACACATCCAGAAATACACCGACCAATACAAGAAGCTCTATCCTTCGTCGACGATCCTTCTCATCCAGTCTACCTGGAAAGATGTTTCTGGGACTGATAAGTTTATGGTATGCCCCTCCTCACTATAGATACTTGAGAGACAGATATCCGTTTCTCGTCCTGATGGAATTACCGACTGACCTTACAAAAACAGAAACCCCGCCTGGCAATCGCGGTCTCTATCATCCAAGACCACCTTCTCCAAACCTCCTCAAAATCAACATCTACAACCTCTCGCCCTCCTCCTTCCCCCAAAATTTTCCTCCACATCTTCTCCAACGGCGGCGCCACAATCGCCAACCACCTCAGCATCCAACTCAATTCCTCCCTCTCATCCTCCCCTTCCCTTTCCCCTTCGACCCACAATTCCTCCCACCAACCCGGCTCCATCTTCTCCCGCCTAATCCTCGAATGCACCCCCTCCCGCCCCAACACCTCCCAAGCCGTCCTTGCCGTAGCCTCCGCCGCTCTCCCCGCTTCCAAACCCTTCCTCCTCCGCCTTCTAGGAAAATTCCTCATCCGCTGCTTCGTCTCCTACGGATTCTGGAAATGTTGGGTATTGGGCAAGGAGAATATGGTTGATAAGTTGAGGAGGAGATTGAATTCACCTTTTCTCACAAACAACACCAAATCCGAGTCGACGAATCCGAGTGACGCTGTCTCGATGAAGAACGAGGAAATAGAGAGAAACGAAAACGGCCTCACAGTCCCAAAGGAGGAGATTTGGGATGCAAGCATCCCGAGATTGTACATGTACTCGAAATCTGATGAAGTGGTTTCTTGGCAGGATGTGAGAGATCATGCGAAGGAAGCGAGAGATGTGAAAGGGTTTGAGAATGTGAGAGAGGAAGTTTTTGAGAAGGCGCCGCATGTGGGGTTGCCGAGGGAGGATTTTGAGAGGTATTGGGGGGTTGTGGAGGGGTGGTGGAAAGGGGAAGAAGTAGATGGTGGCGGTGGGGCTGTGTTATAGGTGGAGGGGAGATGGGGAACGGGAGATGGGGGACGGGAGATGGGGGACGGAAGGAAAGGGGAGGAGGTGTATGTTTGATGGATTGGGGGTTTGTAGATATCGTAGTGGTATGCGATGGAATGTATAAATAATGAAACACACAGCACAATGCTGGTCAGAGAAGGCTCAATCCATCGATGTTTCTTGTTTCCGCTTATCAATCGTATACTTGCTATTTGGGTATATAATGTTTCATCATATTCATGTTCTCGTAAATTTTTGCGCACTGTTCATTCTGATAAATGTGATCGCCCACTCCACACTGCAACTACATCTCAACGAACAGTCCTTAGGGCTCTCAGTCATATCCGCTTTCATGCTTCGCTCTTTCCCGCTTTTCTCCCCTACTTCGACGTGCTAAAGCCTCCGCCACTGATATACGGATCCACATCATCCTGTCTCCTTCCCGTCAAGCCCTCGCCAGGCTTATGAGAAGAGGTCGTGCCAGTAGCAGAGTCACCGCTAGCTCCTACACGCGAATAATCACCCGTAGTAGTGGACCCGCCGACAACAAGAACAGGCGCCGCAGCCGCAGCAGACGCTCCTCCCGCTCCAGTGTCCTCGGAGAATCTGGACGAATACTGCTTGGGATCGGCCTGCGGTTGTGAAGACGAGGTGGTTGTCGTTGTGGTTGTTGTTGTGGTACTACCGATGGCATTGTTGTTACCGCTGAGGAGAGGCTCAACGTCGTGTTGTCTTTGGCCGGTGAGACCGGCGTCGCGATCGGATGTTGTGTTGCCTGTGCCAGAGGCAGAAGCTAGGGCTCCGGCGCCTGCGGCAGCTCCCAAGGCACCTCCAGAGGCAGCGGCGTATTGGGCTCCGCTTGGTGAGGATGTGGCTGTAGTGTCGTCACGAGGGAGTGTTGTCGTAGGTTGGCTAGTCGTTGTAGAAACGGCACCTGGACCTCCGATGGTGTTGTTATTGCCGCTCAACGCTGGCTCAACATCATGTTGTCTCTGACCAGTGAGGTTTCCACTTTCGCCGGGAGCAGTGTCACGTGTCGCGTAGGCACCCGCTGCGCCGGCGCCTCCAGCAGCAGTCGTCGTTCCAGCGGCCGTAATTAGTGGGTGGTCCAGTGGTCCGTTGTCCTTGTTCTCCTTCAGCCCCGTAGCTTCTCTGGTTTGACCAGGAGCAGAATCGCGACCCGCATAAGCACCGGCTGCGCCAGCACCTCCCACAACGGCCGTCGTTCCGGCGGGAGTGATGAGCGGATGATCCAGCGGACCATTGTCCTTGTTCTCCTTCAACGCCGTGGCTTCCTTGGTCTCATCGTCCTTGTCATCTTTGTTTCTGTGCAGGATTCTGCTGATCAGACCCGGCTTCTTGTCCTTCTCCTCTTTCTCGAGCTCCTTCTCATGCTTCTTCTCCGCCTTCTCGGCAGCATGTCTGCGTTCCTTCTCGTCTTTTTCATGCTGCTTCTCAAGTTCACGCTGTTTCTTCTCTTGTTCCTTCTCAAGCTCACGTTGTTGCTTCTCAACTTCCTTCTGATGATGCTTCTCTTCCTTGGCATGCTCCTTCTCGAGCTTCTTGTCTTCGGGCGAGGGCTTGTGGAGTTTGTTGTGTTTGTTGGGATCATCCGCACCGTATGCAGCGTGGGTTGTTGGATCGCTGTCGCGTGTGGCGGCATATGCTGCGCCTGCACCAGCTACTCCTGCGGCGCCCGCGCCACCAGCGATCGCAGCATCACGACCAGATGTGTGAGTCGTCGACGAGTCTGGGTTGTGGTTGGTGCCTGAGATGGAACCGTGTCGAGCGGAAGCGCTCACGCGCTCTGTGGTGTTTGTGGTAGTCTGAATGCCCGGGCTTGCAGCAGTGCCTGTTGTAGAGCTGCTATGCCCGCCAAGTGCGCTACCAGCTCCGATCGCGCCAACGCCAGCACCTGCAGCTGCTGTTGCTGGAAGGGAAGCGCCAGTAGAAGTGGTCTCGGCACCGAGGAACTGTCCAGCCACGTTCGGGCCATGGTCCACAGTATCGCCAGACTTTCCAACATAAAATGAGCGATCGAGGAATGTGGCACCCTGTACGTCAGCCGGAGCCTTGTTCAGCTGAGTAACGCCCTCATCGTTGCGGATGCCACCAGCTGCAACACCGGTGGCCGGCTCAGATGATCCCAGAACACCAGCGTGGCTGCTGCTCAGCTGCGAGTCTCGTGGTGCAGATTGACTCGTCGTCTCCCTCAAGCTTGCCTCTGGGGCTGCGACTGGGTTAATGTGGCCGTGCCCTGCTCCCGATGTAAGTGGGTGAGAGCGGTCGCCTAGCGATTGCGAATTGTCAGTGCTTGAAAAGGTATTGCTGTTGTTGTTATCACGAGAAGCAGCATATGCCGCGCCGCCAGCCCCTGCAGCTGCCAGACCTCCTGCGATGCCTGCGTTGCGTCCAAGGTTGGAAGACTCGGTAGTTGACTGGCCACCGGTGAAGGTGGTGTCAGCAGAATCAGTAATGCCGCCAGTTCTCGTTGACCCGGTTCCGTAACCACCACTTGTAGATTCGAAGTCCTGAGCTGCGACGCCTTTGGAAGTGTTGTCCCCAAGTGAGCTGGTCTGGCCTCCTAGACCGCTTGAATCACTCTCTCCCAGAGGTCTGCTCTGCGAAGTAGTCCCGGTAGCGGCAAGTATGGTCTTTCCCTTGTCTGGATCATTATCATGCTCTCTGTTAGCAAAGTTCGCCTCGCCAGCATCTCGGCCTGGCCCATGAGCTCCGGATTGATCTTGAGCAGCCTGTGTCCCGGTGCGATTGTCAGCGAGGCCGTCAGTCTGGCTGACACCGGTTGTCTCGTTATCCCGTCTGCTGTATGCGGTCGCTGCTGCGCCACCAGCTGACAGGTCACCTCCTGCAACAGCCGCTTCTTGGGCAGTTTTTGGATCAGCAGGTGTGAGGTTGGACTGAGTGTTGGATGCGCCAGTGTAGCTGTCCCCGGTTGATGCGCCTTGTCCAGTGGTTGTAGTCGTTGTGTATGCTGGTGACTCTCTCTGCTGAGTATCTGTCTGCAATTTGCTTGAGCCGGGCTGCTCGGTCGTGGCGGTGGTGCCCATGGCCTGCTCGTCGTACCTGAGGCCGGTTAGATATATGGCGCTGCGCTCCTCTGCACGTCTGTCTGTTCGCTCACTTCTTGCCGCCTGGATTCAATATTTGACGTAGCACTCCTCCCTTCTCGCCCTGCTCTGTTTGCTGTCCCTCAACAGGATAGAGTGTGGATGTATCCTTTTTCGCTTCATTCTCTGGTGCATTCTGGAGCCTCGTCTCTTCACTGCCGTAGAGGATCTCATCATCCTTGCTCGAACCCGGCGAGCTGGAAAAGTCAATAAAATTCCGCAAAAATGCCTGCTGTAGATCTAGCTTACAAGACTTTCTTGAGCTTATCCATGCTTGCTGTGTGCCAGGTCAATGTGTAAGTTTTTTTCTGTTCGTTGCACGAGTCGTGGCTTCGCACTTTTGATATCAAAATGAATGCTTGAGTTACGCAAACAGATATATATCCTATTGATCAACAAAGCACGGCCTACCTCTTCACCAGGCTGCGCGGGGCAAGCGCCTCATCTCAGATGGGAGAGCTTGCAGAGCTCATATGCAGACGTCATCCTTGCCACATGTGTCGTAGCAAGTTGGAATGCTGATACGCGGCATGGGCAGCGAAGTTGGCGAGTGGTGAGCACGCGGTGAGCAACGTGTCGGTGGCTGAGGTCATGCGAGACGGTTACACAAAGAAAACAAAGAGCGGTGCGGCGCGCGTGCGCAGAGATTGGGCAACGATGCGCTTGAGTATGTGAGATCTTGCAGAGAGTCGATTGGGCTGCTCGATGCTGCAGATGACGTGGTTCGCGTGCGGCTGTCCGTCAATGCAGGGCGGAGGCGTGATTTGTGTTCCTCGGACCTGTCTGCGGGTGGTACGCTACGCGTGGCGCTTGGAGAGACAGATACGATGTGCATGATGAAAGCAGTCGAGATGCAGTGAGGGAGTTGAAGTTGTAGATCCGCGCGGACATGGGCATATGCGAGCCCTGGTCGTTGGTTGACCTCGCCAATGCCCGACTGTTCCGACCGATCGGACAACTCTGGAGTCCTGAGGCTGCAATGCTGAGTGGAAACGGTGAGCGAGCGGGCGTCCGGTGGGAGCTCAACGACATGGCGGAGTGCCACGCCGCCGCCATGCACTCTTATGCATCCAACCCCACCGCGTGCATAACGCCCTCCATACATCGAAGGACTCCGTTCCCCATTCGGGACACGAACGGCAGTAGTAGAAGGGCTTGTCGTCACCTCGCCGCCCACCTGCAAGGAACTGCAGCGCGTCTGCTATTCCTCCCACATTCAACGCGGCGCATCGGCTTTGGCTCTCGCTCTTTGTTGACCCGTCGTCCCATTCTTTGCCGTGACCTCCCGCACCATGGCTCCAACTAACCCCAAAACTGCCTCGTCGACCGCGCGGGCTCAGCGTAGCGCGCTGCGAGCCTGTTCCTCCCCACATTGGATGCCATTCCAATCCTTCCAGAATCCAGAGCCACCCTCTGTTATCTCTCCGCTCCCTGCACTTCATGCGCCCTCGACATAGAACACCCTCTGCCAGCTGAACAACACTCCTTCTCGTCTTCCGAGACACACAATACGCCATCCACTGCTCTCCCCGCTCTCGCCAACCGACACCTTCCCAATCCATCCATCGCCTGACGTAACCTCACCTCCCAGGATTCCACTGGCCGCTTCCGCTTCCCATCCGCGACTTGGGCAACCAACGCGATACTGCTCGGCATTTGCCGATTCAATGAGACGAATATCCGCCTAGGGCATCTTCAGCACCTTCACTTCAGTATACACACCCTTCCGCAGACATGGCGATCCGAGAAAAGGTCAAATTCCTCTTCAAGTCCAAGTCCAAATCGGACCGCGGCTCTCAAACCTCCAAAGGCTCCTCGAAAGCTTCTGATGAACGATGGCCAAGCAATGTCTACAAACCCGGCGAACCCATGCCAAGGCCAAAGTACCGAGCGCCTCCCAAAAAGGAGCACAAGGATAAATTAGAAGCGTTCAGTTTCGCAGACGCATGGAGGAGGAAGAGCTTCCAGAGCCAGTACAGTCCCATGGGAACCAGAGCACCAAGTCGGAGAAACAGCGTCGCCAAGACTCCGGCGAGCAGAAGGAGCAGCTGGATCAGCTTAGGTAGAAAGAGTTTCAGCGGAAAAAGCACAGACGGCGGCAGGAGCAACAGTATCACGAGTGGTAGCGGTGATGCAGAAAAGGGCAATGTGCGACACCGGGAGGGCGCTCCGATGCACATGGGTGTGGCAGTGCCCACGACATTGAAGACCGAGCCCGAGGCCGATGGCGATGATGATGTACACAATGGTGAGTTTGACTGACATTGAGAAGCTACGACAGGGACTAACGCAGAATCGTAGTTGGCTTGTCACGAGTCCAATCGAAAGACCAGCGATATCAGCCGCTCGAGCGACCACGAACAGCAGACAGCGGCACGGCTGGCCACGCGAACAACCTCGCCAAACCTATGAGCACAGCACACGACCATCAGCCTTTTACCGAACAGGATCTCGCACTGGCGCTTCACCGCTCCCACCTCGCAGTTCCAGCGCAGGGGTGAGAGAAGCTTACCACATCTCAGAGCACTTGTACAAATTTGTATAGCAACACGGCGCAAGATACGGAGACAGGTGCATATCGTTGAGATTTACTTTGCAGCATTTTTGGCGTTGGAGTTGAGCAGGAAACTCTCTTGAAAGGGACACGACATCACGCGAGCATTTTGGCACCATCATCAGCAACAGAAGAGCAGTCAACATTCGGACGGCTTTCAATTTAGCATTGCATTGGACAGCATGTCCCACACCAGCGGACAGCCAGAAGGCATACATATGGAATGGCCGGGGCGGAGGAGAAGGCAGCAGAGAGAGAGAAGTAGAAGAAGCATAGGAAGAGAATCTTTGTATAGAAGTGAGAGCAGATATGAGCGTTGCTATATCATGCATTTACAAGTTGATTGAGTTATCCTCCACCTCTGATTTTTGGAAAAAGACCCTTCAATTGCTTGCTTTTTGACAAATTTCACAACTCCGCGCGTGCAGAGCCCTCACTCCCACCTCCAGAAAATCTGAAACCACTGGAAGAGGCAACCATATATCTGAATACCCCCTCAGGATCGTATCGCGCGGCGATCTCGCGTAGATTTTCGGCATTTGCGGTAGAGGACTAGTATCCGTATCAGCTGGTGGCAACCCAAAGAGGCAACAAGAATGAACTCACTGGAAAACCACCCACTTTCACATCTCTCCCGCCCACTTTCTCAATTTCCCCCTCTATCCCCTTCCGCAGTTCCTCTGCGTGTTTCCGGAAAAGTCCATCTTGAGCTGGTTTCCCATTGAGATTCTGATATTCGAAGAATGCTTCGTAGTGGATATGAGCTGCTTCTGACTCGGATGTCGCTGGAAGGGGTTGATATGTCGCGGATACGGTCCAGGAGCCGATGGCTGTTTCTTCGAGATTGGAGATTGCGGTTAGGAGGGAAAGGTGAGCTTTGAGGAGAAGTGTTGATGAGGCGGGGAGGATGACGGTGAAGGTTTTGAGGTAGTGGGTTTTGGCTTGGGGGGCGGAGGCGGAGGCGGGGGAGAGGAAGAGGGAGGTTGGGTTGAGGTGGTGTTTGGTTGTGGAGGATGTGTTGTGTGGGATGGAGAGGAAGGGTTGTAGGGCGGGAGGTGGGTGGGCAGGTTCGGTGTCTGAGGTGTCTGCTTTTTCTCTTGGGAGAGCGATGTTGGCATATGCGTTCCAGAATTCCAGTTTTCCGGGACCGTTTGAAGATGAGTATTTCTCCATTACGACTACGCTTGCAATCTCGCTCCCACTCTCCCTCTTCCCCATATTCTCCACGAAATCCGCCAGAGCCTTAAACTGTTCCTCAGCCGTGTTTTCAGGATACTTGACTACTCCTCCCCAAATCCCTCCGTCTTCAATATTTGCCACTTGCAGGTCAAGCCTCGTGACTAACCCAAGATTTGCTTCCGCTCCTCCTGATCGCAGCGCTTTAAACAGATTCGAGTGTTCTTTCGCGTTGGCGTTGACCAGCCAGCCGCCATCTCCTAGTACGACTTCGAAATTGGCCACGGTATCACAGGAGGGGCCTCGTCCCAGTGAGAGGATAGCGGGTGTACAGGATAGGAAGAAGTCCGATATGCTAGAATCTAGAGTGGTAGACGGTGACGAGAGGAGGAGAGGAGGAGGCCCGGAGATCAATTTCGGCGTCGAAAACGTCAGTTCAGACTCGCCGTCGGCTTCATTGTCGTTTCTGGGCTGTGATGCGGACCTTGGAAGCTCAGAAAGGTAAGTGTAGACTTCTCTCCAAGTTGCTCCAGGTCCCACAGAGAGCGTAGAATTCGATGAATGATACGTTATGCTGTTGAGCTTCCGGAGATCCATCATGATATCGGTATTGGATGGGCTGGAGTAGACTCCCGAAGTGTGGTCATTGCCATTGCGTATCGCGAATTTGCATCCTCGAGATATGGTTTTGTTGGTCGCAAGGAGTATCTTGATCGCTTGAGCGACTTCGTCCGTAGCATCGGGAGTATAGAAACATGGTGGAGTGAAGTGATGATTATTGAGGTATTGTGGTGTTCTTTGTAGTTCCTTGTGAGATGTCTCGCCTGGATAATGGAGATGAGGAGAGGGAATATGTGGTGACATATATAGGGCTTCGCAGCAGGGGTTGGGACCGAGAAACGATGTCTCGAGTGCTGCTGTTGCTGAGGCCAGCAGTATGAGGTAGTCCAGAGGACGATTTCGGGGGAGGCTCTTCATCTTCATCAAGATATAGCAAGCTCAAGGTTGGTTCGGCAAAATCTCTTCAGAATGTTTTTTCCGATCGAGCAGTCTTCTTGTTGAGTGTATGAGGACGAACGCTTCGTTCCAACACGCCTGCTAAGAAAAATGACACCTTGTTCAATGACCTGGCTTGAATGGTGAGAGTCGGCACTGTTTGGGCAGGACCTTGGGAGAGTGATGAATGTGCTTCCTGAGCGACCAAGTCTTCCGTGGCTCAGTGCTGCTTCGTGTCTGCTCGTGACGTACAAATTCTCGTTCAATGAAAGCCTATACTTACTGTTCGTTTTGGTAAGTACGAGTGAAAAGCATTCAACTTGACATCAGAATTGAGCCTTGTCGTTCCGGCTCACCAGGCAACGAGCGAAGCCGGGGCTTCACCGCTTCAAGATACCTTCGCTCAGTTCTGTGAGCAGGACATGTACTTTGCAGAGTACAGCAATGGCATCAGGTTACTTGTTTTAGCTCGAATGGTGTATACTTGATGCACAATTGCAGAGTCGCAACATCGGAGTCTGCAGTGCGGGACCCAAGCCTGCAAGTTTCGCAGGGGTCGGCGGGGAGCTCTGTCACGACCGCTGATGGGAATAGAAATTGATGAGGCGTGCAGAAGTTGTGATGAACCTGATTCTTGTCCTCGACGGAGAGCAATACACGTGTCGATGCTCTTAGAAGGGCTTTCCGTGACGAAGTATTGCTCGCTGGTCAGTCAGATTGGCTTCGATTCAAGAGAGGGCTCGGATCTGGAAGGCCGAGTTCCAGCATGATCGTAACAGATGCATCTGGCTGTCCAAAACTTGACGCAGAGCTTGAAGAGTGCTCGTCATCATGAAGAATGTCGTTCGTGGTTTCCCTGATTGTGTGATGGCCAACGTCCAAGGACATCGCATGGTCATCATCAGTATTGCCGGACTTAACAAACGACACTCACAGTTCTTCCATCAAGCAATAGCAACAACTGTATGCGACGCTGACGACCTCCATCGGACCGATACTATCCTCTTGGTGATCCAGAAATAGCGAACGTCGTCCGTCTGTCGACCCGATGGTATCCCTTTAGTTGTTTTCACGGTGACTTGGCACGAACACCCACCCTGTTTACCATCGATAATCGGGTCCAGTCTATACCATATTTGGTTATCCGGCCAGCTGAATACCCTGCTTAGCGAGACGCACCAATCTGAATCTAACCTAGATGATCTCTGCAGAGTGGGCTTCCAGGATTATTAGCGCGAACTGACTATTGTCGACGAGTCACCAAAGGGATGGCTTGACAGGTGGTTTCGTGCAACCGGCAATGGCGTAGCTGCTTCCGTCATCGCCGCCAACACACGCCGACCCGAATGCTAGCCTTGCTAGGAGCTGTAGCGTCTGTGCTGACCTCGTCGGACTGGGATTGTGGTGGTCTGCCGGGAATGTGCCTGTGAGCGCCGACAAGGATGAAGCAGGAGCGAAAGCCACGCGAGAATGCTTGGCAAAGCTGCGTGCGACCATTTGGAGGTCCAAAGAACAAACAACATCGAGACCACGATATTGGTGATAGAGAACTTCGACACCCCGCCCTGCTACGCGCAAATGGACATCACGGGCACCCCGATGAGGGCAGGCATCAGCATATGCCTGAGCGCCAGGAAGCCAAGGAGACTCGACCACGGACCTTGAAACCGGCTGCGGTGTTGGCATACCAGCTCGGGGAGCTGCGAGCCGATAACAATGAGAGCAGCCAATTCCCATGAATGACGCGATTGCCTCCATCAGAGCGAGCGTCATCATATACCATAGATGGGACATACTTGCAGCAACCCGCAAGTAAAATCCACAAAGGCCTTCAAACGAAATGAGAAACAATCAAGACCAACCCTAGTCGAGGGTCTGGAACATCGCTTCTCCACGTGCACTCACCCATTGATCGGCCACTACGAATGTCATTCGCTCGTGTTGAGGCCAGAGAAGACAGGCTATCCATTTCGAGCCGAATAATGCGAGAACAACCTCGACTAACAATGCGACGTCACTGAATACTGCATGCTCGCTCGCTCTGCACCCGGAGATGCATCCGGCCAAGGCTGTACAGCCCCATGGTTGAATCCTCGGTATCGTGGTGCTCGGCGAGTTCGGAGGGACATTGGGCCTAGTCGTTTCAGAATTACTGGAAACATTGATGAATCACATCTATAGAAAGCTCTCGCATCACGCCTTCTCCCCGGATCGTGCCTCTTTGCGACTTGCTCACCAGAAATAGGACACAATGAACGATATGACTTGAGGATTTGGAGTATTTTCCAGACTGTCGGATACTGGCTATCATCACGACCACACATTCTCTTCGACAACATGTCCTCTCCAGTGGACCTAAGCACGACCGCCGCGATGCCGGCACCAGAAGGGTACACAGCGAACCTTGAAAACCCGGTGACACAGCATAGAGACGCTGGAGTGGTTCTAGCAATACTGGGGATGGTCGTTTCAACTGCTTTTCTTTCACTGAGAATCTACACAAGAGCGTTCGCTTCACGACGATGGGGAATTGACGATGCTGCAATTGTCGTGGCTTGGGTAACTTTTCCTCCAACAGTCAGTCGACCGATATGACCTTCAGCTGACCAGCTGTTGCAGATGCTTTCGATCTCCTTGCAAGCAATACTCATCTACCTTTGGGCGACCGAGCTCATAAGTGTCCACCTCTGGGACCTTTCACTTTCTCAGGCCAAAGAGTCTCTTCCCTTAACCACGATAAGCGCCGGCGCTTTATACATTTTTACGATGGCCATCGCCAAACTGTCTCTTTTGGTTTATTACCACAAGCTTTCTCCTTCCCGCTGGTTCCGATACCTGATATACGCCATTGGGACTCTCATCATTGTTTACAGCACAGCACTTTTCTTTGCTGTGATCTTTGCTTGCAAGCCGGTCGACATGAGCTGGGATTTGACGATTAGGGTTGGAAAATGCCTGGACAAAGACGCCATCTATCTTGGACACGCCGGGCTCAATACTGGCACGACTCTTCTGCTATTCGGCATTCCTGTCCCGATGATTTTGAAGCTGGAGATTCCTAGAATGCAGAAAATTGGACTGGCTTCGATGCTTTTCGTTGGTGTACTAACACTTATCGCAAGTATCGTCAGACTTGCCCTTTTGCCTGCTGCAATCCACTCCGCAGACGCGACATGGAGTATCTCAAAACCAGCCATCTGGCTCTGCATCGAAACGAATCTGGTCATCATTTGCGGCTGCCTCCCGAGCATGCGGTCATTCTTCCGACACGTTGCCCCAAAATATGTCGGCGAGCGATATGATGACGATTACGAGAAGAGCCTTACAGGAGATCGCATATCTGGCGGAGCTGCAGCCTCCTCGCTCACTCTCGACGAGATGGCCAAGTTGAACCGATTGAGCAAAAGCCAGCCCAAGATCTTCACAAGCTTCGAAGCATGGCAGTCTTGGTGGGAGAAAGACGTCGAAGGGAACAAGAATGCAAATAGGAAAAGCTTGTCGAAACGTGCTTCGCAGGATTACATTCTGGACGAGAAGAATGGCCAGCGTGTTTCCAGAGCACGAGGCAAAACTTTCTCGGCAATAACGGAAGAGCAAGATCATCACGACGGCCGCAAGAGAGCACTGTCAGCTGCCAGCAAAGGTACTGTGTCCACTGTGACGAGACCTCTAACTGCTCGGAGCCAGAAGAGTTCTATGTCCTTGCGAACAAACTACAGCGGCACGACAGTCGGGTCGGTGATATACGAGAAGACGTCTGCAGCTGTCCCGCCCAGGCCCATTCAGCCGAGAATGAGGTCTGATACTCATACGACGATGCCTCAGAGCGTTGGCTTGGGGATCTATGGATACCAGAGTGCACAGACGACTGAACAGTCGCCTAGGGTGTCGAATGAGCGAAAGTGAGATGACGAGGAGGAGCTTCGAGAACTTTCGCGTTATGGTCACTGAGAGCCGAGAAATGGCAGACACCAGAGGCTATGAGCTGATGAAGATGACGAAATGGGGATGGCGAGCGATGCGAGAACGTGATACGACTAGGCGGATGCGATGAATTTTTGAATTGGAAAATGATACCCAAATTGTGTAGCATATGTACTTGGAGGCCAGCTCCAAGAAGCTTGCCAGTGTAACTACTAGGTGGACTTGCAAAAATTGAAATGGCATGGTGCAATGACTGCTTCCAAGTTTGAATCGATCATTGACGGTTGTGTACAGATCAGCACCAAAATCTATCCTGCTACATTTGGGTTGGGTGACAAGTGAATGTTACAGCCTTCTTGGTAATGGATCTATGTGTTGAGACGCTCGACGAACATCATGTGATTGGTGATCTGGATCATGCTTAATGATAGCATGGGAAGCAGCACAGTACGGTACAAGAAAGGTGGGAGGTTGATTTGAGAATGTCAGAGAGAACATTGAGGTGAATGTTCCTCGTTAGTGTTCGTATATGTGTTAGCACGGTAAGACTAAGTATGTATTGGGCAGTATTCGAATGCATGGCGATGGTGGAAGGTTGAGCTGATCAGGCCTTGTTCCATCCACCATCGTTGGCGGTCGAAAACGGAAAGGCGATGATCAGTACTGCTAGGACATCTTCTGGTAGCTGATGAAAATCATCAGAGCCTACACTAAATGTCAGCAGATGCTCTATGAGCGATAGCCATGTGTACTTTGCGTCTATGAGCTCTTCATTCGGAGGGAAAAGGTGCGGTGTGCGTGAATAGAGCAGGGGTGTAAGCGTGAATGCATGCATCACCAAGGCAGTGGCCGTCATTGCGAGCGCACGACGACGACATGGTCAATCTCGGCCATGGACAGAATGCTACAGACGAGTTGCGAAGCTAATAGCAATGCGTGAATGGTGTTGTGGTGCCAGTTGGCGGAAGGTGGGTCCCTGCCAAGCTTTTTCGAAGCCAAGTGAAATTTTCAATCTGCATCTCCATATTTGCACCACAATCTCGCACCTCATCCAATCAGGGTGGTAAGTTGCATTCAATGCTTCTACATCGTCATCAGCGTCTAACAAGCTTCAGGTTGGCGCAATGGTAGCGCGTAAGTTCCAACTTCAACGCTCCACGAAAATGCACTTCACTCACACCTCCTAGGTTGGTTTTCGGTTCTACAGCTCACGCTGCAGTCTGGCACACCAAAGGTTGAGGGTTCGAGCCCCTTGCTGCGTAAGTAATTAGCTGTTCATTGATATAACAGCTTGTTCTAACATATCCGCAGTCGAAATTGGTACAATCGATTTTTTTGACCATAATTTTTTTTCGCTTCACCCTTTGACTATCACTGTATCCGCACTTCTGACCCTGCATTGTAACTAACAAGGTTACACTATATCAATTTTGGAAGCTCGCAACATGACTGGAAGTGATCGAGACAATAATCCATATGCGTGTGAGAAGTGCCATATCGATGCTACAGATTACTTTTCATCCGCCACGGCCCAGGACACGTTCGGAGTCAAGTCACAGACTCTCTTGATGATTCCAACACGATTCAATCGATCTTTGCAACAAGATGACAGGCTGTACACCCTTCGAAGTTGTGATGAGCTGCAAAATAAGACATTTATGGGGCTATGGGGGAATTTCGAGTCTCTCGCGTTTAGCACCAAGGAGAGATTGCAGCAAACAGTACTGTAGCATTACAATCGACTGTCTATAGCTTTGACAATGCGCACACAGCTTTGTAAGTTGCTGGTCAACATGCGTGACTGCGATTACATCTCGGTAGGAGGTGAATGCGTGAGCGCCCAACGTGATGCTGAGAGAATTCCTTGTACGCAAAGCTTTGTCTGCATTCAAAGCTCGTTACTACATCATTCTGGAGTGTTTGAATACGTGGTGGTGCGTTGCAGTGTGCTGTGAGGGGCTATATTTATGTATGCCGGCAGGAGGTGAGGTCAAGCCGTCGTCCAGCGCAAACATCTCGAGCGCCGCCAACACCAACCTCGCACTGCACACCACACACCAAAGGCACCGCGAAACGCTCGCCGCGATGGGCACAGCGCACCGGCGAAGTCCATGCGACCTCGATGAAGCATCGACGACATGCACCTCGCTGCCGGCCTTGCACTGGCAGCGCGTCAAACGGCAAACTGCAGCCAGCACCGCCCAGCTCAACCCAGCTCTGGCAGACCTGCATACTGACGAGCAGAGCGACTTAGCGATATTGACAGATCTACTGGTTTCCGCCAACGCCGGGAGAGGGAGCGGATATCGCTGGGCTCTGTCCCGCAGTCTTGTCTGGTCCGAATACGACCACCTCGCCGCTTCGTCGGACGTATCATTTGCTTTTGGTGCAGACCTTATTCCATCTGCGCCGCGGGATTGTTGGCGAGCGGAAGCTTCGGAAAACTGAATATCAATGTACAGATGAAACGCAGGAGTGCTGGTAACGGACAGCCGCAATCCTCACACATTTTCTGGGAAAGTCTGCCGGGCTTGGAAGTCAGCGCACAATTTGACTCCGGAAACACAACAACTTTCTGCCAGACCACTGCGCCCGTCATGAGCAGCTGAACTTCCAGCGCAGGCATTTGAGCTTGCTTGACGTTGGCAGTCGGCGCGCAAGTGGCTCGGAACCGAAACATTCGGTCATTCTGCATCCTTCCGCCACCTCCTTTCACCTGCAAACTCCGATTAGGCAACAAAGCGTGGTAGGGCAAACACGGCACAGCTGAAAAATGCTGTACGAGACGATAAGCATTTGCTTGTCGTTGCTTATCGACATCTCTTGTTGCTTTTCTTACCAATTCGCGAGACACACTTTGAATTCACGACTGACAACCAGCTTCTCCAACGCGGCAAGAATTTCTGCTGGCAGCTTCCGGCCATGATTCGAGCATTGCTTCGCTTCGTTTGGAAAGCGTTCAAGTGGCCATTCTTGCTAACGCTTCCAGCAACATTCCTTCCTCTGCTCGTTACAATCATCTCCGGCATTTCCCTCGCATTTTGGTTCGAACAGCAAGTTACGGCCAATACTGACAGATTTCTCTACGATGTCAAAGACTCCATGTCGGACTGGGGCGTAGGCGGCGACGCCCCATCATTTCGCCAATTCCAGGACACTCACAATGACTTTCACACAATGCGGATCAATAGCAATGATTTCCTGTCGAAGTTGGACTTTATGCTGCCACAGCAATACTATGATGAAGAGGGCATCCCTAGGGAGGACCTCCCAATTGACAAATACCCCGACATCGAGAACCTTGTACGCGACATCTCGCCCACTTCAAGATGCAGCAAGCCAGAAGCTCCCCGAGAACAGTGGGTGTTCCTAACCTACTCCGGTTTTCGTTTCTTCCCATGGGACTCAGACTTCATCTACGCGATCAATTACGCTCAAGGTGACCGCAAGCTTAACCAGACGGGTCTATACTTTGCGCAATGCAGCGGCACTGCAAGCTTCCTCTGTGGAGTGTGGAACACGCGAAGCCCAGCTCTGGTGCATTTCTTGGTTGAAGAAGAAGAAATTCTTGATACAGAGGAGACTGGCTTCACCTATCGCGGGAACGCTGAAGACCTGCGATCAGTTACAGTGCGACTCATTGAATTTCCACTGAAGGACGCGTACACCGGACTTCCATGGACCACATTTCCTTCGTTTCAGAACCAAATGTTGTCAATCATGACGGGCGACCGATTGTACGAGCAGTTCGAGCCATATGATCCTCAGAACCAGGCATTCGAGCGTTTTGGAGAGTACATGAACAAGAACTACTGGGACAACAAGAACCATATTCTGTATCATGTTAGCGAGGCTGAGAATTGGATGGATGATACAATCATCAGCCCGATGCTCAAGTATCTGGATGCCGAGGAGGCCTGGCAAATGGTGTTCGGGACAGTACTCATTGGCTCCTCGAGTCTTGTTGCATTGACTGTTCTAATTCCGTTGCGGGTGGTCAAGGGGCTGGTGGGCATATTCTTGGGAAAGCCGCTAAGAGGAGATGAAATCATGGGAGATATGGATTTCACCAAAGACGGAGAGCCAGCCAATATTCTTGCAGATCTCTTTGGCGGATTCATGGACGACGTGCTGAAGGGTGCCGAGAGTTTTTCGAGCAAGAGTGTGAAGAACAATGTGTTCGGAACGACCCCGACATCTGGTGCACAGTCGAGTGACGCGGGAATACTAACAGGCAAATGAGGACATCTGCTGGAGACTCACGGGAAGTACGCTGCCTTGGAAGCCTGTATCTCAAGACAGATGAGCTTTCTTCCGACATCTTGCGGGACTCTACCTGGACATTATGAGATCGCCACTCGAGTGCAAATTTCTGACAGAACAAACCAGTACCATGAAGAAGCAGAGGTGAACTCACGCCCTGCCTTGAGCAAGCCGATCATTCCAGAGGCTACCATGCACGGAAGAAAGTAAAAAAGGACGCGACGTAGCTCTGCTCTACTCTGACTGCACACAGAAGAGTCACTTTGGATGCACACAGAATGTGCAATCAGCAAAGGCGACTGCGTCGCCGGCTAGAATTGCGTTCTGTCTCCTAATAGCGTCCACGTCGGTGGACGCCGTTCTCTTGTATAGCATTCTAACGTTTTGAAACGATCCGACAAGCGAAACTCACGCATAATACTCTCGCATATCCGGATGATGTGGCAAAGCCAGACAGGGAAATTGCTTGTAGGAGGTTCCGACCATCGGCTCTGCAGCTGTTCACTGGTTACAGAACCTTGTGTCGTACATATGCACATGCAACGCCACGATAGCTCTTGTGGCTTGCACGACTCGCGAATTCTCCGGCAAGTTGCCGCACCATTACAAGTGCCAGTAGCACGGAGCCATCCTTTGTACGCTGATTGCTGCAGTGACTTTTGTTCAACTCTTCATACACACGGCCGGTGTGTAGACATGCAAAGATCCCTGTTCAAGGAGTTTGGGTTGCGTTCTCCCTTGCAAATCTCGTACTGCTTATCAACGGTTGTCTGGAGACATGACGCGCAGGCCGTTGAGATGCAGCACAAGGAACGCGCATCCGTGGACTGTGTGCACTATGCTTGTGCAAACCTTCGCGTACACGAAGGAGGGACTCGGGTTTCCGGTATACTTTGCAGGCTCACATAAGCTGCACTGAGGTGTGACCGTGTTCGCCACTGTGCGGCAAAATTGAGGACCAACAAATGCCATGGTCCACGAGAGAGAGGCGGGCTCCGAAGAGGTACCATGTGGCGACCGTGTGAGGTACACAGGAGAGACAGGTCGTCAGTGGACATGAGGTCCAGAGAGCACCTGCGCCTCGACCAGGAGTGCCATGTGCGTGGATGCTGGCTGAATGTCGGCTGATTTGTCCAGGAGGCGTCACTTCATCCGGCGTTATGAGACTGTCGCCTATACCTTTCTGCACAACCGCCACTGCACAGCTAGTATACGTTCGTCATACCATGGAGACGCGGAATTGAGGTCTTATCAACATGCTCAAAGAAACCACTAGCAGGTGTGATCCGCGAACGGCGTCGAGCGCAAACACGCCTCACGCCGCGGTCCAGACCGTCCGTGAAGGCTGAAGCCACAACCCCATCTCCGCACGCTCTGCCGTTGCGTCAACTTCCCTGGTTGCTAATCTTACGCATCACTGGCGCAAACTCCCGACAGGCAGCGCATGTGAACTGAGAAAAGGAGGCGACAATTCGCCATCACGATCCGCGGACAACGAGCACTCAAACCATACCACTTGCCTTTCAGTAGTCCCTGTGGTATCTGCCGTTGACATGGGCAGATCGCCAACCAGTGAGGAGCAGACGGGCGCAGGCCCTTTCGACGCTGATCGGCAGTTAGCCTAGCGTAATATCACGCGCCCGGCTGTGAGCGGCGCAGTGTCTCCAAGATTGGCAATACACTCTCTCACGCAATGACTGTACAGGATACTACCAGCCACCTATAGAGTACCATGGAGGAGCCTACCCGTCGGAATGCCCATTGCTCACAGCAAATGAAAGGTCAAACAGCTCTCGGAGAACAACCGTGGAACGTTTCCAGAAGGCAGAGCATTTTGCGCGTCGCAGCCAGCGCATGAAGCGCCTCCGCCCTGAAACGGGCATGGTGCGACTTTGAGGATTTGCACTCGCTTGAAGTGTAGCACGGCCACGATTCCCTTCGTGGATGGCGCGGATGGCTGATCCCCACATCCGTCCTCGAGCCGACCAGCTGAGATGTGGCTTCCCGCCCCTCTGATTCGTGGTTGTTTCGGCAGCGCCAAGCAGACGATGCTGATGCATGGTTCCCGTGGGCAGACGACCTGCTGCAGGTACAAGTCCAGCAGGGATCTACCATCGATAGTTTCGTCCTGTAAAAGCAGGCTCGGAGCGTTGAACATGTACGCTCACGATTCTGCCCATCCTGGTATCCCAGGCTGATACATCCTTCTTCATGTCCCACTATGGTCTGGCCTCGACATTTCCATTCAATACCACGCAGCACGCGACGTCCGACTTTCAATTGAAATGTGATCGCAACTGTTCACGCGACACATCATGGCCGACTACAGTCCTGGGAAGTACGCGATGGATCCACGCAAAGTGGCGCCGGTCGTCATCGCCTCTGTGGAACGAATCGAGGCACCAGTGACGCTCAAGGCCTATGCGATGTGTGCGTTCGCCGCCTTTGCTGGAGTCCTGTTTGGCTACGATTCTGGTTACATTTCTGGCGTACTGGGTATGGACAGCTTCAAGCGCGATTATGGACGCCCATCGACGACAGACCCATCCGGATATGCATACGAGACGTGGGAAAAGTCACTAATTGTTTCAATTCTCTCTTTGGGCACCTTCTGCGGAGCACTTACGTCCGGATGGCTTGCAGACTTGATAGGCCGTCGACCAACGCTGATCGGACCCGGATGTGGCGTCTTCATGGCGGGAGTGGTTGTTCAAATGGCAGCGCAACAAGTTGCTGGCCTCTGTGCTGGACGATTCATCGCTGGTCTGGGTGTGGGTTGCGTGTCGGCCGTCAACATTCTCTACATGTCTGAAGTGGCTCCTCGAAAAGTACGAGGCGCCATCGTCTCAGCATACCAGTTCGCCATCACTATCGGCCTCATGTTGGCAAGTTGCGTCGGATACGCATCAAGAGATCACGATACCTCCGCCGCATATCGAATACCTATCGGCATCCAATTCTTGTGGGCGTTGATTTTAAGCATCGGCCTGCTGCTACTACCCGAATCACCTCGATTCTATGTCAAGAAGGGCAGATACGACAAGGCAGTCAAGGCTTTAGCTCGCGTACGAGGACAACCTGTTACTTCACCGTACATCGAGGACGAGTTATCCGAGATCGTGGCCAACTATCAATATGAACAACAAGTCGGAGAAGTTTCCTGGATGGGCGTCTTCAGCGGTGGCATCACCAACTCGAACTCGAACATGCGAAAGATATTCATTGGAACCGCCCTACAAATGATGCAGCAGTGGACCGGAATCAACTTCATTTTCTACTACAATGTAACATTCTTCCAATCGGTCCACATGGAGAATGCCTTCCTGATATCGATGATCACTACGGTGGTCAACGTGGTCTGCACACCACTCTCATTCTACGCCATCGAGAAATTCGGACGACGCTCGTTACTGATTTGGGGAGCCGTGGCTATGTGCATCTGCGAATACGCTGTTGCCGTTGTTGGCGTTTCAGCACCCGACTCTGAGGCAGCCAACTACTGCCTCATCACGTTCGTTTGTATCTACATTGCATTTTTTGCAGCAACTTGGGGACCTGCAGCATGTAAGTCCCCCATTCTTTGATCGTGCATCAACAGCAACTAATATCTTTCAGGGGTCGTCATCGGAGAGATCTTTCAATTGCCCATCCGATCAAAAGGAGTAGCATTGTCGACAGCAAGCAACTGGTTCTGGAATTGCATCATCGGCATCATAGTGCCCTTCATCGTCGACGGTGACAAGGGTGCTTTCGGCGTCAAAGTCTTCTTCGTCTGGGGTTCCACATGTGCATTCTGTGCACTCTTCGCTTGGATATTTGTGCCCGAGACGAAAGGCCTCACGCTGGAGCAAGTCGACAAGGTAAGCACTCCCTCCATGTCTTCGAGCTCGAGAGATCTATACTGACTCCTGCCCACCAGATGATGGAAGAAGTCCCAGCCTACAGAAGCAAAAACTACAAACCCCACGATACATTCGCCGACACATACGGCTACGTGCCAGAATCCCACAGCAAGCGACCTTCCACATCTCTATCGTCTACGGACTACCCTATGACAGTTCAGAGTTTCATCGACAGATGATAGGAACAGCAACGTCGTAACACACGATCGACATTTCATTACATTGCATCGAAGACAGAAAATACAAAAGCTAGGCGCAAGGCGAAACAGGCGAATTTACAAAGGGAAGAAAGACCACTATTCATATCAATTTTTCATGGACTGCACAAGGAGCTGATGACGACGTTATGATACCCTGGGCTGTGATGAATGCCCGTTGAGAGTTGCAGTAGTATAACTAGAACAACAAACTATTCTTATCATCATCGAAACTAAGGCACATAGCCGTCGCGAGACAACACAAATATCTGGCTCCAAGCCGTTCATTCTCATCATCAATAGTCACATACCACCGGTCGTCTCTCTACAGTAGAGCTATTTGAGCTGTCCGGAGATTTCCGATTTGTCTATTGAAAAGCCTAACAGTGGATTGCGTCCGCGTGGACGCTACCTTGGCAGTATCACATCACAAAAGCATATCTGTTTTATCTGCATTGCATCATGGGGTTTTGTAGAGTTCGCTGGAGGTCCTCTATTACTTACCGCGGAACGATGCATGTGATTTGATAGTTCCAGATCTAGATCTTAGCTTCATGCAAGATTGTCTGAGATGTGATAGCAGCGGAGTGAGATCCGCGGAGCGAAATGTGATGCAGGGGCACAAAGGCGCAAGACTTCAAGGGGGAAGGCAATGATGCACTGATGGAAGTGCAGTGATTTACTTAACGTTTGTGATACTTCAAGAACTACATGCGTTGCTATCATGTATTCGCACAACCTGTCTCTTCCCTTAATCCATTGTCAAAACAGCCCTGAACCTGACCTTTCCGCTCATCATGTGTGCCATAGCATCGTTGGCTTTGTCAAGCGGGAACTTCTCAATCAAGCACTTCACGTCGTGCGTTCTCGCAAAGGCAATCGCCTCCTCACTGTCCAACGCATGTCCACTTGGCCAGCCATGAACCGAAAGCGCATTCAGAACCATAGCAACAGTATCGACTGGCACCGGCCCCACAGCAACGTGAATCAACAACTTTCCACCAGGCTGCAGACCTCCGAGCAGAGGTGAGATGACTTCTGGGTTTGGTGCTGTGACAACGACAAGAGCAGCGCCGCCGAGAGCTTGCAATGCCTTGCCAACATCTTCCGCTTGGGTATCGATGTAGTCCGTTGCGCCCAACTTCATGGCAAAGTCCTTCTTCTCCGAGCCTCTCGAGAGGGCGACAGTTCGATAACCCATCTTCCTGGCATACTGGATTGCAAGATGTCCCAGACCACCAAGACCTTGAATGGCAACAACTTCTCCGCTAGTGACGCCCAATCGACGAATACCGTTGAACACCGTGACTCCCGCACAGAGCAGAGGAGCGACCTCAGCAGGATCGGCGTCCTTGGGAATGCGGACAGCCGCTTCACTTCGCAGAGTAGCGTACTCGCCGTAACCACCATTACGGTATACACCATTGACAGTCTTGTTATCGCACATTTGGAACTGTCCACGAGAGCATTGACGGCAGTTGCCATCGTGTCCTCCGTGCCAGGCTCCGCCGACGCGGTCGCCAACGACCCATTTCTTCTCTTCTGGTGGGACGGCTACGACAGTGCCCACGAACTCGTGGCCAAGAACATCGATGCCTGGAGGACCGAAGTCGCCGTGTAGGACGTGGTGGTCGGAGTGGCAGACACCGCAGGCGTGGACTTTGATCAAGAGCTCTCCAGCTTGAGGTTGCAGCATTGGGAGCTCTTTGATCTCCAGTGGCTGGTCGATGCCATTGAGCACGGCGGCTTTGAAGGTCTTGGGGAGTTCGGAGCCCATTGTGATAGATCTGACTTGTGAATGAGCTGTTTTGAAAGTAGATCTGCGGCTGGCAGGTATTGGAGTAGCTCTGTGCGACTTCGCAAGCTTGGTGCTTCGATACTCTTATAGCAGTCGCCTGTGATCGTCGTCCTTCCAGATAAGCTGATTCAGTAGTCCGATTGCTCTAAATGTTAGCTCGAACCTGAAGTGAGCTGTTGCCGGAGCGGATGTTTCTGCGAAACCCATTTCATGTCAACAACCTACCAGCTCTTTATACCTCAACCGTCACCGGCGATAACGTCAACACCTCATCCTAAGTCCAGACATCCGCCAGCACACAATCTCCCATCAAAGGAAGCTATACCATGGCAAAAGGCGAGGTGAAGAACTTGGTCAGCTATGCAGTAAGCTCACCCTGCATGTGCAACCGGCCAATGTGCTTCCAGCAATGGTAACTCCGGCGCCCAGTCATGAGCTGGAGGGCCAAACTGGGGGGAAACGACTATGCCGGAAGCAGAAGCTGTAATAGCTAGATGGGGATCTGCTTTGCCTTGTTGCAGCAAGCTTCAGGTGCGGTCGCACGGGGAAGGCGGAGAATTGTCGCATGTTGCATGATCTGTCATCATCAATGACCAGATGATGCACTCGGCGGTAGTCGTTTGCTAGAACTGTGGTCTTGTTGCGCGATTATGGCGATGGGCCCTAGGCGATGTCGATGCGCAGAGGATCGTAGATGCGTGCACAGCAGGGGTGTGTGTCTCGTTTCTCTTGGCGGAGGGTCTCAAGGTGGGGCACGTTGACTGTTTCGAGGGAGTACAAAATATAGTCGAGGTATATACGACAAACTCCAGTCCATAGTGGAGTATGGTCAAACAGGCGGTAGCGCGGAACGGAGGAAAAAGGAGAGGTTTGCCAAAGAACGAGAATGAGCTTCATTTTGTACTTTCATACTTCAAATCCACCTTGATGGCAATCGGGCAGAAAGCTTCTAGTCCAGAATCACTGCGAGCGTGTCTTCTCTGTGCAGAAGCAACACTGTCGGAGAGCTGGGTGCGTCAGCTGCTCAGGCATATTTGATCGTATGCCAGATGGGCTCCCGTCAAGGGTTATGCGTAGACCTTGGAGAATTCCATATCACCAGTCCAGAAAGACTCCGGAACTTCTGCAGCTGCACCTCATAAGCGTGGCTGACTTCATTGCTACTGCAAATCCAGTTGTTCTGCATGGCAATGTTCTGCACCGCTGTGGACGGCTTTTCCGTTGTTTCATTATGCCGCAAACGCCAGCAGCTTTTCATGTCGGCGGCCCCTCAGCACCCTTTTCTGCCTTCGCCTCATCAGCTTGCCCACTAGAAATCTTCAGCTTCTCGACATCCACGGCCAAGGGATCCGTCTCCTGCGTAGCCTCCTTGGGCCCCTCGTACCCAGGTGGCGGCAAAGCCCACTCTGGCAAATCCGTCTCATAACTCCATCTCCCCTCTGCACAATTGTACTTTCGGGCGTGTAAATAAATTCCCAGTTCATGCGCACCAGGATCGCTGTACAATGGAGTCTGACAGACATCGCACAGCTCACCAGTCATCTTCTCCGCCTTCTTCCGGTTGTACTCGTCGACCATTTCATCGTGATACGCAACCGCCTCTGCGACTTCAGACTTCCCCATACGGGAGAGCCGAGAAATAATATCTTCATCGTCGTCGCCCGTGCTGGAGGCTTTCCCGAGATCTTGACCAAACACTCTTTGATTACTGTAGATGGGGTCGTTGGTGATGGGATGTCCGAGGAATTGAAGATGTACGCGCAGTTGATGCGTTCTTCCAGTCAATGGCCGAGCGCGAACAATGCTGTATCCCTCCTTCACATTGCCATTCGCATCCAGTCCAGGTTCTCGAGGAGGGTAGTACGCGAGTCGTTTGAACACAGTCCTGGCTTCTTTGCCATTCGCGCGCACTCGATTCAGTCCGAGTTTCGGGGAGATCTGTAGGATTGGTTGCTCGCACACGACGTCTCCTTCTGGAAACTTTCCTTTTACTCTCGCGACATACTCTTTCTTTATCGTCCTTCCCATGAGCTGATCTGTAATGTCCACCGCGGCCTTCTTGTGTTTAGCAATAAACATCACTCCACTCGTGAGACGATCCAACCTGTTGCAAGGCAATGGATCGAATCCATGCCCCCGCTCAGCCCGCATGATTTCCACAACGGAGTTGTAGTTATACCTTCCAGCAGGATGCACAGGTACTCCAGCCGGCTTATTGATAATAATGACATTCTCATCCTCATGCACGACACCAATAGGCTGCGCTGTCACAGGCGGCTCATGTCGATGCATGGTATGGCTGATGACATCGCCGTTCTTGACAGTTGTGTCAATCGAAGGTACGGTCTTACCATTGATCTGCACTGCGCCGTTCTCAATCGCACTTTTCTGCGACGATGGTCAGAACATGTCTACAATCCCTCTCTTGCGCGCAGTTCTTTTACGTTGTGCCTACACGTACATAGTATTCAACTGGTCTGTCACGAAACTCGTCTGTGAAGATATCCAGCAAACCTCTCCCGCGCCAACGCTCTTTACAGAAGGTATTGTAGGTGAAATGATAGGGCGCGACGCGTCGGAGGTTGTCTTCGAGATAGTACGGTCGAGGCCATGGATCGCAAGGCGTGACGGCGACTTTAGGAGGAGGTTCGAGAATTTCTGGCTCTTCGTGCGGCTCTTGCACGGCCACGACGGCCATGTTCGCGGCTGGGACACGACCTTTTCGGATCAGATACTCGAGCACTCGCGGAGATGGGCGAAACAATGCGGCGGAGGCTCTCATGTGGTGGTGACGGGTTGGTAAGAGAAGTGCACAGTCATGCATCGGACTTTCCACATGCATAACTTTAAGCTTTGAGCTCGGACCGCCCGAGTTCATGCCAGTGTCTGAGTCTTTCCCCTCTCTGGTCTTCTTCATCACCACCTTGCGGATGCTCATTGACTGTGACAGCGGCGACGATATTGATAAATAATACTGGCAGCATGACTGAATCTTTGGAGAGCCGCGGCGGCCTCGCGCATCGCACACGATGCAGCATACAGTACACCAAGACGTCAAGAGCCCGGTCACCTTGATATGATCGCATGTTCTATGAGTCGAGGTGGCATCGCGAAAAGATCGCTATGCTGTATTTCGCAGCTACCGCTGCTTTAAGAATACCCAAGAACATGCTGGAGGCACATACGCACTGAAGCAACGACTATCAGCTCCGAAACGGAGAAGCACTATTCGCGAGCAACACCGCCACAAGGTCATTCCAGCTTCTCTTTCCAAAGCAGCTAAAGTACTCATACCACGGCCATGAGTCCTGCAACGATCGCACCTCCAACAAGCGCTGCGATGTCGGTCTGTCCCACTCTTGCACCGGCACCTCGCTCAGCTGCGACCAGACACTCCGTGCTATTATCGGATGCCACTCGCTCGACTTTTAGACTCTTCACATTGTACGGTAACTCGTCACAGTGGGCTGTTCCATCATCTTCACCGCACCCACCCCATGAAAACCATGGCTCTGCCGCGTCCTCTTCGCATCGGTCTCCGGCGAAAGCCTTCAGTCTGAACTCCTTGGTAGCAGTGCTTTCGAGATTCCGGAAGTTGACTTCGATATGGGTATAGTTGGCCTCCGGAGAATAAATGTTGAGGCCGTCTGCTTGCAAGGCTGACTGGCAGGACGAATTTAAGGGCCAGCAAGAGCTGGTGATGCCCTCAAACTCGGTGATGGTGTCGTTAGGGTAAGAACTCGGCGAGAATGTCTCAGCGACATTGAAGCAAGTTCCCGATGTGACCTTGTTAGAGATTCGCATGACGATACTCTTAGGAATGACATCGTCATAGTATCTTCCGCATTCGATACTGGAGTTGACCGCGGATTGTTGGGCCAAAACAACATCGGCCAGGAGCTGTCGATCCTCGGACTGGGCAGCGCAAATTGTTGCCAGCAGAACCACACAAGAAGCAGTCTTGAGGGAAGGCATCGGAACTGTCATTTGTGAGTCGCTGTGTTTTGCTGTATCCTGCTGCTGTATAAAGGATTCGGTTGGATGCTTTGCTGATACGAAAGCAAGCGAAGAAAACGAGAAGTGCTGCGCATGGGAGCACGCTCTAATAACACATCATAGTGTTCTGTCGAGCACCACCCAATACGCTTCAGTGGGGGCGGCACAGCACTTCCTACCAAGACATAGCGCACGAAGGCCAAGGATCTCCAACCTCTACCAAGAAACTCTATGATATATTGTGCGACGGAAGGATGCTACGTGCTGTCACCTGCTGATTTTATGATGTTTTGTTTTGCACAAGCATGGGTGGTCGCACTGGAAAGACTGGTGGGACATCCGACAATTAGACGCAAAAACAAGACATACACATTCGTTCATTCGGACCGCGTTGCGAAACATTAGCGATGAATTGAGATACCGGAGCAACTCAATCAACCCCAAGAAAAACGCGCAAAGCATCAACACGTCACGCAAGACCTCAGCCAAATACAATCTTCTGCTTCCATCAGCGCCTGCACTGCGCTGCACTGGGTCCAACTCACCCTGCGTGCCATAGATTCATTTCGCAGCTCTCTGTGTGGAACATCAGTGGCTCGGTTCTGGAGCACCTTCAAAAACGACCACATACGAGTTCCTTCAACCAACTCGCCTCCCCCATGAAAGTCTCAGTCGTTCCGCAGAAGAATGAAAGATTATCAAGGGGAGCCGCAACCTGCGGGACAAGCGCGCCTCACTTATATGTCAAGTTCAGGTCCTGCTTGACTTTCTCCTTTCGACTTCCTGCTCACATATACTTCAACGTCGCCAATGGATCTTACTTTGGCCAGTTATACACACTCCACGGCCGCCTTCCGGACACTTATCGCAACATTGAAATGCTGAAGTGAGGACTGAAAATCCCGCTCATACTTGTATGATTGACACATACATGACTGGCACTAGCCCTTCGGGCTCAGTGGCCGACGATCACGAAGCCGCTTCTACATCGTAGTTGACATGAAGACACGATCTTGCGCGGTTGATGAGAAAATCGAAGCGGCAGCTATCAGAACCTGCGATGGCCTCTCCTCTCGGCTGATGAAGGTACAGCAGATAAGATCTTCGCGTTACACCACATACGGCTATCCACGCCACCATGAAGGTTCTCCCAATGGCCTCGCTCGTCGTGCAATCTTCCCCGCTCTTCCTGCACCACGGCCCCTAAAGGATTGGCAGACTGCGGCCTTCGTGGCCAAGAGTTTCTGGATGAATCACATGTTCCATATGCTAGCCTTGCTCAACACCTGTGCTCAACACCGTCCATACAGTATAAGACTACACGCTGCTACTTGGAACAACTGGTTATATCAACGATCCTCTCCAAGCTGGTGACATGGCCGCTGACCTTGAGCAAGGTGGTATCCATCTACATCAGCTCAGCTCAGACATCTCGCCAAACCGTGATGGAGAGGACCGAACCGCAATTGACAACCTTTGCAAAGTCGATGAGTCTCGTCTCAACTCGGAAGAATTGCAGAGATTGCACACTTGGGAAGATGCTATACAGCCACACACGAACGAGTTTGGTGATACCAATTATATCGGAGACGTCTACAATGAGATCAATGAACTGATTGCAGCGGAATGGCATCTCGAGCGGTACGCATCTCCGCCCTCTCGCAGAAGTCTACTGAATTTGATAGCCCCGGTGACTACCTACGATTCGTCAAGAGTGTGTCTCAGACGGATGTTGAACTGAAATACCTCGCCCACTGGATGGAGGTATCAACCAGCCCATTGAAATGGAGATTTCTCCGGCAATTACCTGCTAGTCGCGAAGAACGAGCTCGCAGGGTGAGAGCTTGCATCCTAGATTACAGCGCCCAAATTCTGATGCGTACTGAGCATTGCGAAAGTGCAAATGTGTTGAGAGACACAATCAGCACCGTCCCTCCTGATTGCAAACTGCGGATCATCATAGCGGAAGACCTGTCGCGGGATTTGATTGAAGCGCTGGGCATACCCCTGGATCTGGATCCTCGATTTTTCCGGGAGTATATTGGCGATTCTACGTTCTTTCACTCCACAGATCCTTGGATATCGCATCTGATTCCGCTGTCAAAGGTCGCCAGGCAGTCACACATGACGTTCTCTTTCTTACGTGCTCGCTATTACGCGAGCGAACTCATATTCCAGGAAGCATACAGGCAATGTGGGAAGTTCAACGTCTTGCGACGACTGGACAGTGATCGCAGCCGCATCAAACTACAGCAACTCAACCCTTCCAGAACCAAGAACACAAGTGTGGCACTGGCTCGGTCGAAGTTTGCAGTCTGGTTCAGAAAAGAAAACGATCTGTCGCCAGTCATTGCACTTCTACTTTGCGATCCTACAACAGAGTCAGGCAAGCCTCTCTGGATGGGAACCAATACTGCTCAAGATGTGCTAAGACCGTCAAACTGGGTCGACGAGGCTCAGCAAGTTGGACGAACATCACTGTTCGACCAAGTCACGCAGGCTTATGGATCGCTCGCGCCGTCTGACATAGAGCACATCTTGGAAAGAGCACGGAATGTTGCACAGCCTGCTTTGAAGATCATGATCAAGGAATGGCTTTTGATCGTGCGACACATGAGGTCTCAAGTGGCGATTATGCAGTGGGAGCTTGATAAGCCGGAATTTGGATCAGATTACCATGGAATGCTCTCCGCCGCAGAGAGCACATCTCCTTGGCGAAAAAATCTCAGTCACTATAAGAATTGGGTGCAAGACGTTCTGGATTATGTCTCAGTGATCGCTGCGAACGACAAGCAGACCTACGCACACCCAACCGACAGCGCTTCTGATGTGAGAAACGCGCATATCGATGGCCTTGAAGCTTTGATACCAGACCTGGAACGTATCATCAGACGACTGGACGAAATCGCGGAACTTATTGAACGAGTTTCTGTCATGGCGTCTTCGGCAATGTCGCGGGGAGAAGCCCGACAGAACAGGAGGGCTTTACTGCAAAACCGAAGCCTTGGCTGGCTATCGGTTCTAGCAACGATATTTTTGCCTCTGAACTTCGCCACGAGTTTTCTGAGCATGTCCTCGGACTTCAGCGCATCGCAAAATACTGTATGGCTCTTTTTCGCGATCGGGATACCTTTGACGGTTATAGTGGTTTCTTTCATTGGCTGTATGCGATTTTACAGAATGGTAAACGATGTCAAAATCTATTATCAGACATGAAATGCCAGCTGCAATCACCCTTTCTCGAATGTCAGGGCACTAATGTGTCGATCAAATCTGGAGTACAAAATCTATGTCGATGTTAGACCAAAATCGTGCTGCCTGGAAGTTATTTCTTCCTGGAGTACATTACCTGTTGCATAAGCTATAGTTCAGTTCACAATCGATGTAGTGTCTGACAGGTCATAAAGATTGGTGAGGGAAGGAGAACGTGGACTCTCACATGCATAATCTTAAGCTTAGAGCTCGGACCATATAGATCCATGCCAATATTCAAGTCTTGGGCAACTTGCTTCTTTCATGCCTCCACCTCTTCACTTTCCACAACCCACAAATGTCACACCAAACCAAGATCCCACATCATCAATATCAAAATCACAAGCCACTCATACAAAATGCCCATCGAAATCACCCAACTCACAGACGAAGACATTCCCTCCGCAGTAGAATGCATCCAAGAAGCCTTCAAAGACGACCCATACAATAACTGGGCAAGCAACTCCTCCCCCCCATACCCCTCCCTCCCCATAACCTCTTCCCACCCCAACACTAACACAAAATTCAGGTCTTCCATCCCCTCTCCTCCTTCTCCAAAACCCGAAACACCCACTCCCTAACCCTCCGCTGCAAATGGGGTCAAAAACACGCCCTCTTCCACGTAGCAAAAGAAACATCCCCCACCTCCCCCTCCTCCTCGCCTCCAAAAGTCCTCGGCGTAGCCTGCTGGCTCCCACCCAAACCCCTCAACTCCCCACAAACCTGGTCATCCTATTTCGGAGATTGGTGGCTCTGGTTCGAACAAGTAAAAATGAACCTCCTCCTCCACCCCCTCACCTACCTCACCACCTCTCGCACTCGATACTACATCTGGAAACGCGCCCAAGCATCCGCCCAGCAAACCCTCTGGACCGACCCTTCTGGGTACTACTTCTGCAACATCGTAACAGTGCTTCCCTCCGCTCAAGGCCAAGGAATAGGCAAAAAATTATTCAAACACGTAACCGACCAAGCCGATAACGAAGGAAAGCGATGTTACTTGGAATCAAGTCGCGCAGAACCAAATTTGAAAATATACGAGAAAATGGGATTCGAGTTGAAGAAAGAAATGGTGTGTGATGACGATGGGGATGCGATTACGTTGTATTGTATGATGAGGGAGCCGCAGAAGATGCAAGAGAGTTCATGAGAGTCGTGAATTTCTTTGGTCATTTCTTCTTTCTCATTTTGCTGGAGCTATGCTAATGGATGCTGTTCCATGCTTCATATGATTCCGGTCGTCATGCCTATTCCTCAATTTCTCAGAGTACCATCATTTCATTCCAAAAGTTCAAGGAAACACGCTATTTTGGTTGATCCGTCGTGCACTCAGAACGTCTAGTACCGAGGTGGTCCTGGTGGTGGGCTGTATGCATTGTCAGTAAGCTCTTCGCGAAAGGGGCCTGGAAATACTCACGCGCCATACTGCTGCTGTCCTGGGTATCCCTGTGGAGGTCTCTGTTGCTGCTGTCCGTACTGCTGCTGTCCCGGCGGTGGAGCACCGTACTGGTTTGGCGGTGGCGCGCCATACTGGTTCGGCGGCGGCGCACCGTACTGTTGTGGCGGAGGGGCACCGTATTGTTGCTGTCCGTACTGTCCTGGTGGTGGAACACCTGCGCCTGGTGCCATATGTGACTTCTCGTCCTTGGTGTCATAGCTTGGGTCGATTGCACCAAGGATGAGCTTGATCATCCAAAGATCGGGTGTCAAGTCAACTGGTGGGACTGCTCGTGCCATCTCCGCAGACTCATTCTCGTAGTTGGATGTGCAATCAACTTCTCTTCCGACCATTGGGTCGTTATCGAGCTTGGCCAAGAACTCAGTCGCCTTTTGATCGTTTCCGACTTGAGCGAACTGGAATGCCACAGCACCGGGACCGTATTGCGATCGCTGAGCGGCTTGGACAGCATACTGTACTGTCTCGATCAAAGTGTTCTGATTTTCGCCAGCTGGCTGGCCATCGGTGATACTAATGATGAGAAGTGGCTTCTGCATCTGTCCGCTGTTCAACTTCTGGATGAGAATTGGATCAATGACCTTCTTGCGCAGCTCGGTTCCGAATGGAGTGAGACCCTTGTAGCGCTTTTGCGCAAGGATCTGCTCGACCTGCTGTTCGCTTTGAATGTGCGACACGTTCTGCATCGGCAAGTCCTCGTTCATGAAGCGGAGATCGATTCCGTCATCATCGAACAGTGTCGCGGCGAAGCAGGCTCGCTGCAGAATAAGCTGCAGATCCTTGATTCGCTCGCCGTTCTCCTCGAAGGACATCGAACCAGAGTCATCGACGTAGACTACGACATCGTAGAGCGCAAGTCGGACAATATCATTTGCAATCTCTTTCTGAATGCGCCACGCTTGGCAAAGACGATCAACGCACTGCGCCGCGCGAGCAGCAATTTGTGGCAGCTTCTGCGCTCCCGGTGTTCCGGGGCCATAGAATCTGTGCAAGTTCTTCTCTTGAATAGCCTGTTCTAGCTGGCGCTGGTATTGTGCGACGTCGCCGGGACCGGATTGAGGGGCGCCATACTGCTGCTGGCCTGGTGGAGGCGCACCGTACTGGCCCTGCGGAGGCTGGCCGTAGCCTTGTTGCGGTGGAGGAGGTCCGCCGGGAGGGCCACCCTGCTTCAATCACATGTTAGTCTAGCTCGAGTCGCAAATTTTCCTGGAAGCATATGAAGTAACGAACATAGCCGAATTGCTGAGGAGGCTGCTGATAGGGTTGCTGCTGTTGATAGGGCGAATTGGGCTGCGCGGGCTGGCCATAGGGCGAGGGTGCGGCGCCTGGATATGGGCTCGCTGTCTGCCCAGGTCTACCAGGCGGAGGAGGCGGGGGCCTCGCGTATTGCCCGCCCGGAGGCGGCGCCGGCGACCCATACTGCTGCTGCTGCTGTGGAGGGTAGGGCTGCTGGCCATAGGGTTGCTGTTGCTGCTGCCCGTACGGTTGTTGAGGTTGTTGTTGGTAGCCTCCCGCCGGCTGCAGCGCACTGGGCATAGCGCCAGGCTGCAGTCCCGCGCCTCCAGCAGCGAGTCGCGACGCAAGTGGCATGTCAAGAGTGAGGGGTAGGATGGGCGATAGTGGGATGTCGAGGTAGTTTAGAGTGGAAGAAAAGAAAGACTCACAGGGCGATAAGCGGAGTATTGCTGCTGGCCTTGCGGTGGCGCCTGCCCGGGCTGTGTAATGGAGTGAGCAAAAGCAAGCTTGTGAAGCAGTGCGTCACATGGACTGCGACTTACGTATCCTCCTGGGGCAGCGCCCGAGGTGAAGTTGGACACAGCTTGTGCTCCGCCTTGAGCTGCGGCCAATTTGCTTGCCAATCCTGTGCCAACGTCAGTCATGCCATCGCGCAGTCCGTCCAACCTGACTGCTCAGCTGAACGAAGAGGATGACGACAGCGGGGCCATTGTCGGAAGAGGAAGAGGGGTACTGGCGGAACACTCACCCATGCTGGTGACTTTGTTTCGGTGGTCGCTCGCGGGTTGTGATAAATCGCGAGTGGGTGTGAAGAGGAAGAAGGAAGATGTGGTGTTGTCGCTGCAGGAGGCGAGAGTCGTGAGATCTTATGAGCTGTCGGAGCAGTGCGTGTTGGACTGAATGGAACTAAGTTAGACACGTTCAGCTGGTGGCAGGTGGATCGTGGCGCAGCTTCCTCGCCAATGCAAACGCAAATGCACATGCACCTGCAGGGCTCACGAGTGGCTGAATGCTCCTCTTCACTTGGTACTGTCATCCACGACGACATCACTGTCATCCATCCTGCTGCAATCGACGCCGGCAATCCCGAATCCTTCACTCTTTGTCCACGCAGTGATACCACTTCGTTCCGCTGCTCGACACACCCGCGTATACTTTCGGGCATGCTGACTACGAGCAGCTGCACGGATGTGGCGTCAACGTGGTCTGATGTGTCCCTCACTTGACCTCTTCTCCTCACTCTGGCCAAGCACAAAAGAGGCCGCCGGCACTTTCAGCGCTCGTTGTTCTGCACGAGTGTGAAGACCTGAGATCACAGGCGTCTCCTCCAGCAACAAAAAGCAGAATGTTGACATGCACGGCCACATTCTGCGAACCACATGCCCTGCACAAATGCCGGTGGCTTAAAGCTCCGGAGCTCTGACCGAGCATGCAGACTGACTTGAGTAGATCCTGGATGAGAAAAGAGAAGAACAAGCGAGCTCGAGAATATTAGAAGAACATTCGCTGTCTGGACTTGCATTGAAAAGTCATGCAAATTGGCAGCGACAACTTCGAATCCTTGCGCGTCGTGGATGATGAAACGCGTCTCGATTTTGATTATTGTAGCTTTACCTCTCGTTAAGACCTACAACCCTGCAAAGCCAATCAGACATAAGCACAACACGACACGAGAGAGAAGCACAAGCCAAGCTGACATCTAGGACAAGGATATCGTACGCGTCAACTTCGCCATGCAGCATACTTCTATACCAGAGCGATACCCTCCAAGCCCCGGAATCGCACCCATGCCCTGTGTTTAAAGCGATCGCTATTCATTTCAAACATACAAACTCCAGGCTGCGCGAAGAAACGCTCAAACAAAATGGCCTCCTCCATCCTCCACTCTCAATCTCCAACACTCCTCAAAATTGCTGGCCTCGGAGCCTTCTTCCCACTCGCATTAGGCCTGATCGGCACATTTTCTCCATACAGCGGCTTCAAACTGTTTGGCCTGCCCGAGCCTACAACACCGCAAGCCAAAAAGCAAGGCGCGAATCTGATGATGTTCTGGGGTTCTCGCGATGTCTATATGGGACTCACTGCACTAGCAGCGTGGTATGAAGGAGCTGGGAGAGTTCTGGGTTGGTTATATCTCTGCGGGACGTTGGTGGCAATCAGCGATGGCGTGCAGAGTATTAGAGAGACAGGAGGAGGAGCGTGGAAGCACGTCATGTGGTGTCCAGTTGTAGTTGGAATCGCCGGGGGCTTATTGGGGTGGTTCGATTGAGGAACTCAGAAAGAAAGAGAGAAGAGAGCGCTAGTCGGCTGAGACCACAACGCAACAATCTGGGATCCTCTTGACTTGGGAAGAGCGAGCATGCATAGTCAGACTGATCATCATCCGCGAAGAGCTTTCGCATATGTGAGACCTCTTAGCAGAAGCTTGACTGCTTCAGCCAATCCAACAGCCATCAACAGCGTGTAAAATCAAAGGGTCGCGTGCACGAATCTTAGTCGTTCAGTGATGGCTCTTCCCAGCCACTCGAGAGACCTACAACGCCGTCCATGGTGCTCATATACACATACGCCACATCGTTGACACGAATGGTATAGGAAGAAAGAGATCAACGCCCGACGAGCAGCTGACGTCGAATACGACCAGACCTATCCGACAAGGATACCTTCTAAAACGCCAAAGTTGATCACTGATCACGGACATAAAAAAAATCACCGTTCCGAACATACATAACCATCTTCTGCTTTGCTATTAGTCAGAGAGGCGTAAATCAGAAAGCAATGGAAGACACAATTATTGCAGAGCGCCGAGCATTGATACAAGAACAGACAGCAGACTTTTCGCAGAATCTATATCCCGTACTCACCACACCTAAATCTCAGCTGCTCTAAGTTAGTGCTAACTACTACACTCTACTTCTGAGGACCTTGATCAGTAATCGCAAATGCTCGAAAGCCCCTAGGAGATCTAGTACATCTTGGCAGAGATAAGACTACATAAGACTTCACGCGACGACATGTTAGTTCTAGAGTAGCCAGTGACAGAACCAAGTCGATATTCTTGCTTGCTTTATCGTTTGTTTGCATGCATGCATGCATGCATGCATGAGCGTTATGCTTCTCTCTTGATGTCGGCTTCTCCAGGCAGCTATATGTTTCACAATTAGAAAATGTGGAAAGTGAGGGTATTGAAAATTTGGATTCAGCTTGTGCTCTGAGGTAGGTCATCGATAAACATTTCAGCCTTCGGAAGCCCATCAGAAGTAGACAGACGTGTATTCCCAAGACAGCGACTTCTTTCGTACAAGGAAGTGCTTGAAGCCATGTGTTTTGCAGAACGTGTTTCCTTGTGTCTCTTCAAATATTCTTCCTCCTTCTCCCTCTATCCCCTACGTACACCTCGCAATCGCACGAAACGCATCGATAATTTCGCACGAACGTCCATTATCCGTGCATGGCGCATCCTAAACAGCAACGTCAACACTCTCATCAATAATTTGCAAAGTCTTCGGGAAGAAGGAAAGAAAAGAAAGACAGCAGTTGCAGCACATATAATGCGTGCGATATTTCGTAATAGATGAAGGGAGGAACAAGTATCAGAAAAGTACCGCAGAACATGTCCCGATATCAGTAGACAAGCAGACTCCATTTGCGTTACCCATGAGACAGGTCTGGTAGAGGCTTGGGTTAGCTTTGAACGAGATATTTGGGCAGCTGGGGGAGACTAAGGGAAGGTGAGAGGAGAGCAGAAGAGAGGAAGCGTGCACAACTTCGAACGGAGGGAGTAGACGACGAATACGAACATTCTGTGCCAGACCCGTCGAGAAGAAGCCCATGGCAAAGGCGATAACAGTGGCGACGAGCTTCATGGCAGCGGCCTTGCTGGTTGATAGTGTTCTTCAAGCAGGTAGATAAGTAGAACTTCAAGTCTCCTTTCCTCCTTCGATGAAGTGTGGAGAGAGCGTCGTAGTACAGTCGAAGCAAGAAGATATGACTTCGCAAAAGACGTAGCTGCGTGAGAGCGATTTATGACGGGAGAATCGAGGTCGAATTCTCTGCACGGCGATTAGAGCCATGGGAATTGATCTTGACATGCGCAGTGCCTGGTCTTTGGCCACACGGAGAAGCTGCTAGTCCAACGACGTGGCTTGGCGGACAGGTTTGCAGACCACTTCTGCCGGTGATCTATCTACGCCAAAGACGATGACCGCCAGCGCCGGGACATGTCGATGGCGTGGCGGCGATGTTGTTGCTGTTGTCCTTGAGAGCGATGGATTCTGCTGACAGTATTAAGAAGATTGTTAATTCATGCAGAGAGGAATGTTTGCTCTGCTAAGATGATATTTTCAAGGTCGTGGGCGCGGACAGTGACTGTGTAGCCGGAGCTGGGGCCATGGACCAGGCTATCTCTACTTTTGGTGAAGCGCGACCATGGCATAGATCGTATTTTCTTGAGGCCCTAGGGATTGGTGGAGCATGTCTTGGCTTAGATTCTCGAGTGCGGCCGCACCTTGGTCAGCAGGCCCAACGCGACGCCTAGAAACCGTTGGAGAACAATCTATCGGCAGTCAATACCGATGGGAGCGGACTTTTCTGCCTTAGCATCGCTGACGCGCTGACGCCTTTGCGAGTAGATCTCATGTTGCCTCAGGCTTCGCGCATGTCTGGCTGCAACGCGATAGCCCCGGGCTTATGGCACAGAGATAGAGAGAAGGAGAGGGATCGCAAGAGCATCAAGCTTCGAAGGACAACCCTATTGAGTTTCTGGTAGCCGGCGAGGTTGTCATCCTTGCCCGTGTGCACAGAAGTGAAGTACGATGTAATGAGATTTACACTGCGTGGCTTCATTCTCACGAAATGCGGTAAGGCGAAAATAATTGGCGAGCTCGCAAGAGTTAGACTTTGATGCCTGTCTTCGCCATTCCTGATGAGCCGGCGCGCATCTGACATTGCGGTAAACGTTGGGAAGTACATGGCGTTGGAAGAGCAAGCATTCGACGGGGGTGGATGATGCCGTCCTCGACGACTTAAAGCGACATGTACAGGATATCGGTTCGGCCGTTGTGTTGAAAATGGGCTCGATCGTCATTCAACGCTTGGTGATGAAGGGCAGAAAGACACGGGGATGCCAGCCATGTTGCCAGTGTTGGACAGACAACGAAGTCAGAATCCGATGACTGCGATGTTCTTGCAAGCTGTTGACATAGACAGTAAGCGAAGTCGCGAGAACGGCCCATGCGGAATTCGGTCGTCGGAGAAACGCCTGGGAGTGAGAAAGTCTGGAACGTGCGGTGCTCTGCGTGGTAAATGTCTTAAGCCACAAGGCAGGCGGCCGTTATAACGATGCCGAGAAAGTGCGCGATCGACCACGCAAACCTGCTTTGTTGTCTGAGATGGTTATTCGTGTCCTCGAGAAGCGTGAGCGTGCCACGAGATCAACCAAGTTTCACTCTTCGACGCTCGGTCCGGTCAGAGGCTCGCTCATTCGCTAAAACGGTGCTCGCGGTCACGACGCGTCACGCGAGAGGGCGGAGAGTGCAAGAGCATATTGAAGAGAACCGCACCCTATTGATGTGCATGTCCTTTGGTTGTTTAGCAATGGAGGCGTGAGCGGCGGCAAGTGGTGCCAGAAGTTGACGTCGGAGGATGCGATGGGCGGAATGAAAGAAGAAGGGACCTCCGCTTTCGAGTGAGGGCTTGGCACGCGGCATCCAACTTCGTCCGTCATGAGGCTGTTCGCGTGGCTTGTCGCCGTGATGTCTTTGGAACAGGCGAGAGCACGTCGATATCACTTGCACATGGGTAGACATAGACTAGATAGAGCTGTTCGTCAACTGCTTGCTCGTGCACACTTTCTCGTGGCGAAAAAGGTGCGACACGGCGGGTGTGGTGAGCTTCAGTGGAACCCATGCACCGTGATCAGTGCTAGAACCACGAGCCTCTCGCCGTCGCCGTTCACTGCGCCCACACCCACCAGCACTCCCTTCTCGCTGCTCCTCCGCTCCGCCGCGACGCCATCACTCCGCTCAGCACCTTACTGCCAGCATTGACCCCGGTATGCAGACGTAGCGAGCCGTCGGAGGCCTGAAGCTTCACGCTGTGCGGCAATTCACCACACAGCGAAGGACCAGGCCCGCCCGTGGCTCGTCCTGC